AGTAATGTACTGAATACTAAAATTTGAGAACATTTGTATGGACAGTTAATAAGAAACCATCCTCTAAATATTAAGTACTTTTCTCAATTGTAACCTGATCTTGATTCGTATAATAGGGCCTTATATATGTCTTACATGGATTTTTTCGCTTCATTCTGTCTTGACATTCATTTACCCATTGGAAAGTATATTTAATTTTACAACTTATGTTTCAGAATTACAATAGTTTAGTTTTTCTGTGCTCTCATTATTACGCAACAATACGTCAAAAATGGAAGCCGAATGTATCGCAAAAACGCCCGTTTTTTTCTTGTTACCGCAAAAACGTTGGTGTCATTAGAGAGATCGTACAGTAATGTACTGAATACTAAAATTTGAGAACATTTGTATGGACAGTTAATAAGAAACCATCCTCTAAATATTAAGTACTTTTCTCAATTGTAACCTGATCTTGATTTTCGTATAATAGCCCCTTATATATCTCTTACATAGATTTTTTTGCTTCATTCTGTCTTGACATTCATTTATCCATCGAAAATTATATTTCATTTTACAACTTATGTTTCAGAATTACAATAATTGAGTTTTTCTGTCATCTGGTTATTACGCAATAATACGTCATAAATCGAAGTGGAATGTATCGCAAAAACGCCCGTTTTTTTTCTTTTTACCGCAAAAACGTTGGTGTCATTAGAAAGATGGTACAGTAATGTACTGAATACTAAAATTTGAGAACATTTGTATGGACAGTTAATAAGAAACCTTCCTCTAAATATTAAGTACTTTTCTCAATGGTAACCTGATCTTGATTCGTATAATAGCCCCTTTTATGTCTCTTACATGGATTTTTTCGCTTCATTCTGTCTTGACATTCATTTACCCATTGGAAAGTATACTTAATTTTACAACTTATGTTTCAGAATTACAATAATTGAGTTTTTCTGTCATCTGGTTATTACGCAATAATACGTCATAAATCGAAGTGGAATGTATCGCAAAAACGCCCGTTTTTTTCTTTTTACCGCAAAAACGTTGGTGTCATTAGAAAGATCGTACAGTAATGTACTGAATACTAAAATTTGAGAACATTTGTATGGACAGTTAATAAGAAACCATCCTCTAAATATTAAGTACTTTTCTCAATTGTAACCTGATCTTGATTCGTATAATAGGGCCTTATATATGTCTTACATGGATTTTTTCGCTTCATTCTGTCTTGACATTCATTTACCCATTGGAAAGTATATTTAATTTTACAACTTATGTTTCAGAATTACAATAGTTTAGTTTTTCTGTGCTCTGATTATTACGCAATAATACGTCAAAAATGGAAGTGGAATGTATCGCAAAAACGCCCGTTTTTTTTCTTTTTACCGCAAAAACGTAGGTGTCATTTGAAAGATCGTACAGTAATGTACTGAATACTAAAATTTGAGAACATTTGTATGGACAGTTGATAAGAAACCATTTTCTAAATATTAAGTACTTTTCTCAATTGTAACCTGATCTTGATTTTCGTATAATAGCCCCTTATATATCTCTTACATAGATTTTTTTGCTTCATTCTGTCTTGACATTCATTTATCCATCGGAAATTATATTTTATTTTACAAACTTATGTTTCAGAATTACAATAATCGAGTTTTCCTGTCATCTGGTTATTACGCAATAATACGTCATAAATGGAAGTGGAATGTATCGCAAAAACGCCCGTTTTTTTTCTTTTTACCGCAAAAACGTTGGTGTCATTAGAAAGATGGTACAGTAATGTACTGAATACTAAAATTTGAGAACATTTGTATGGACAGTTAATAAGAAACCTTCCTCTAAATATTAAGTACTTTTCTCAATTGTAACCTGATCTTGATTCGTATAATAGCCCCTTTTATGTCTCTTACATGGATTTTTTCGCTTCATTCTGTCTTGACATTCATTTACCCATTGGAAAGTATACTTAATTTTAAAACTTATGTTTCAGAATTACAATAGTTTAGTTTTTCTGTGCTCTCATTATTACGCAATAATACGTCAAAAATAGAAGTCGAATGTATCGCAAAAACGCCCGTTTTTTTCTTTTTACCGCAAAAACGTTGGTGTCATTAGAAAGATGGTACAGTAATGTACTGAATACTAAAATTTGAGAACATTTGTATGGACAGTTAATAAGAAATCATCCTCTAAATACTAAGTACTTTTCTCAATTGTAACAAGATCTTGATTCGTATAATAGCGCCTTATATTTCTTACATAGATTTTTTCCTTCGTTATGGCTTGACATTCATTTATCCATTCGAAATTATATTTCATTTTACAACTTGTGTTTCAGAATTACAATAGTTTAGTTTTTCTGTCATCTGGTTAAATATGAAATACTTCTCTTGATTGTAACTTGTTCTTGATTAGCATAATGGCATCTTATATATCTTTTACGTAGATTTTTTGCTTCATTAAACCTTTCAGTTAAATTTTGAGCATCTTTGGCTATATATTCAGTTTGATACCATAACTAGTATTATAATAGTCTAATCTCTAATGTGTCTAATCCTCTTGAATAAATGTGTCTTTTAATTAAGCAGGCATAATGAGATCATCTTTCTTTCGCATTTTGTTCGCTTAAGTGCGTCTATTTTACATGTCATCACTGTTTTAATTGCTTTACTTTAATAGCAGGTCAACCTTCTGTCTTCTGAGTAATCCCTTAATGCCTAAGCGCAGGTTCCATCGTCTGCGCTACAAACTGCATCAAAACACGGCACAGCACATTGTATTATTTTGTAGAACAATGAAATCATACCTTCATATAAACAGAAGTTTTAACTTCAATGCAGTGGATGGAATAGGCATGCATTTTGTATGAAATGCATAAATTTAAATTGCACAATTAGGATGATAACGTGGATATATATGTCAACACCATGTAATATTGTAAGATGTTTTTGCAATGAGTCGTTGCTGTTGCCCTCAAACATTCAGCGTGTAACGTCTGCGCCTTCAACTGATGTGTACTTTTGGATAGATGGGAAAATACTGTTCTAAGTAACGTTTGAAACGATCTATATATGCGTGTGAAAGTTGCGCCAAGTTTAACTTGTAATCCTAACCTCGTTGGACCATTGTTTGTCATATGGCAATAGTACGTTTGATTTGTATGCACATCTACGCTAATTCTTGTTGTAGCAACTGACTTTGGCAAATTGTAACATTGATAGCGTCGGTGAGAGGATCATATACTAGTTACGTCTTTTGTATTTATATCATAAGGACATTTTTAATTTAAGAAAGGAAGCAAATAATCCCGAGTATGTTGTGACTGTGCAGCCCAACGATGCACGCCATTTGTAAGGCCGTATTATTCTGTAAAATATAGACGTATACACAGGAATTGCAATAAAACATTTTAGTTTATGCCATATCTATGCGGGTCAACAACTTCTCACACAGTGCCCAAAAATAATAATCAATTTACTCTGTAAATCTGTATAAAATCGACTGCTTTGTTCTAATTACAGTCTAGCAATGCATAAATAAGCTATACATCTTCGTATTTATAAAGTTTAAACGAAAAAATGGCTAAAAAAGGGGTTATTATTAAATTACCAAATTCTACTTTTGAATGATTGAACACAGTTGAATGTGAGGCCCAATCTGAGGCCCAATCTGAGGCCGAATCTGAGGCCGAATCCGCGGCTAACTTCACAGTGGTTATAAGATTTAACCTTTAGATAGTAATTAACCTTTGGAATTCACGCGTGGAATTCATACGTGCATGCGATTAATATCTCTATGTAGAATAAAACACATACAACCTTTTACATTTGACATAGGCCTAAGCCCTAAGGAGCTGATTACATGAGCTCGTTTACCTGAGATTCAACGAAGCGTGCATGAGATGATTTTGAGGTATTAAAATGAGCAGATAACATGATCCTGGCAGTCGTATAATCACCACAATAATAGCATGTGCTTGTTTTGTGTCATAAATACTTATTTCAATATCTCAAAGTCCTCTCACGCTTCGTTGAATTTCGGGTAACCGGGCTCATGTAAACAGCCCCTAAGTCAGTAATAGTAATTGACCATTACTAAAATAACGTCTCCTGTCAGATAATATTCTATCTTGCGTTCACAGACGTTTAAAATACCTTTCTTTATTTTAAAAATACATATTTTTGCATGTGCTTTTTTCAAGTGGAAGCATTGGTTGTGCTTTTTTTCAAGTGGAAGGACCATTCTAATTTCTAAGGGAAGGAAATGTTTACAAAAAATATCTACACGATTTGTACATTCAACGATAGTTAATTCAAACATTTCCATTACATAGCGTAATCTCAAAGTGAGACATGACAAGGGGACATATTTACCGCGGGTTTTTTGTGATCTTGGTTATCATAACATGCGCAGGTTCCATATTGAACGAGCGCGTCGAACAGCAAGTTTGTTTAGCTGATAACGCTGCTCTTGGTACTGAAATAAATTTTGATCATCCTTGAAGAAAACTCGGCTTCTTATGACGCAATCTTCAACAGAATCCAAAGTTTGCTTGTCGCGAATGGTGTGGTCGTGGTTCGAAATCAGACGATGAACAAAGTAGCTCGCAGCGGCGTAGCCAGAACGATAATTGGGGGGGGTCCATATTCATATATTCGTGATACGCAGGATTAATTTCTTTTCAAATCAATTGTCTTTACAGTCTGTTTACATGAATATATGAATATGGACTCCCCCAATTATCGATGCTGGCTACGCCAGTGGTAGCTCGATATAATTTCACACGGAATTTGGGCTCTGTGGTTATACTTCCGGAATCCTTCGCGGGAAATGATCCGGAACCAGGGCTTCCGGCTGTTCAGAGGGTCACCAACTATTTCCACAACGGGACATGGAAAAACAGACGCCGTTGCGTTGGATGTTATTGGCACAAGGAGGGGAATTTTCACTTCGACGATTACATTGGTGGTGTTCTCTATGCCGAAAAGGTGGCAAAATCAGCATCAACAACAATGTTTCTGGATAATTGTGCTGCCTACGACCTCATTCCCCCAGACCTAAGAGCACGGATCCAGGACACAGTATTTTCGGTGTCGGTACGAGACATCCCAGACTTTAAGAATGGCACAGAAAAAGATTTTGCCCTTTTTCCAGACGCAGCTCGACATCCCATATTCTACAATCACCCAGGCTCCGGGCGTCGTTGTTTGTATATGACCAACACAATGGTGACGCTGCGACCCAAGAGTGTAAACGAGATGACAGATCTTCAGAAGGCATGGGATATCATGATCACTCAGACACCCAAGTATCAGCACTACTGGACAACAGGAGATGTCGTCATTTGGGATAATTTGGCAGTTATGCACAAAGCTGGAGAGAAACGGACTGGGCATTCTCCAAAAGATCCACGAATGCTTTTCAGAACGCAATATCGTATAGGTAAAACTGCTGGTAAAAGATAACTTGGAAGATATAATTCACTATTAACGTTTATTCGTTTAAAATTTGGTCTCGCAATAGTTGTGGTGTGCAATTTGCTTATTAGTCTCAGGCCAATTTTCCTGCCTCGTACGCAGGCGCTATCGGAAAACATAACGGAAAACATAACGGCTGCATTCAGCTGAGTTTTTTTTCCAATATAGCGCCTGGGTATGAGGCTGCCAATTTTCCGATGCGCGATTTGATTCGCAACTTATATCCGCGAGGCACGCTGTTCAAATTTGGGCCTGATTCCATGCACGAGCGCTTTTCTTGGCGAAATGCGAAGTATTTCACATGGTTCTTTTGAATTGTGACCACTTGAAAATATTAATTCTGCTTGATTGCTCACAATTCAAAAGGAACAGGCGAAATATTTCGCATTTCGCTTGAAAATTTCGCCCGTGGAATCAGGGCTTAAGATTAGGTTTAATTGAGCTAAGAATATATTTAATACATGTGGATTTATATTTAATACATGTGTCATTTCTAAGTGGAAGGAAATGCTTACGAAAATTATCTAGACGATTTGGTAAAGTCAAGCTTGGAATATTGAGACATTTGCCTTTAACAGCCTCATAGACTGCATGGCGTGCGCACATGCGCGGCACGCCGCAGTTAAAGCCAGAACAGGCGTCTTGTTTCTTAATCATTGAATGAAAATATTTAAAACTCACTAAAAATCACTAAATCATAAATATCAAGCTCTTATTACTCCAGCGTAAGCGACAGAGTTAACAAACGGCTCAAGTTTTGTTTTATTTTTTTTACAATATCTTGTCGTCGCAAGTGTGTGTTTTTGCTGCGATATGATATATTAGAATTTAATGAGCTATCGACCCGACGATAGCCGAGGATCGTATGTCATCGTATCTATCTGCGTTGGCCGTTGAAGTTTCGTCTCGCAATTGTTGCGGTGCGATTATCGAATCTATGTTCTGAATTTTATTTTAATAACATATATGAAGATGGGTATAATATCGCTGGTATATTTCACCGTTTAAAGAGGTGGTCGGGTATGGCGCGTTGACAACTCGCACACGATTAAAGAATACGATCAAGCACTAACACACCATGAACCATTTACCTTCGTGAACACATTACACGCTAATATAAGCTATAAGGTTATCATATGTTTTTAATATAAGCACGATGACGATTGACGAGGTGCGAAGTTTAAGACAACCAAGTGGACTATTATAAATAAAATGGATTACAATTTTGAAATTCTATACCTTACGATGCATATGTGGCTTTTATGTGCTGTCTGAATGTCAAATAACATTTAGGTTTGCAGTGCTTCCATACCTTTTAAAGTACGATATACTGCCTCAATATAGGACCGCAATGCTTCTAAATGGATATGAACAATAGTGTTTATGTTCAGAAGCTTTGTATTGAAAAGATGATACGCGCACGGCGCGCCAGAGTTAACGTCGTCTTGTTTGGTTGGAAATACCGTAACGCATAATGAAGTAATTCGACGGAGAGAAAATTTCAGTAATGTCTGATAAAAAGGAAATTTGAAGAAAATGTAACATCCTCTTTTGAAAGCATATACGGAAAAGAAATTATTTTCTATATCGCCATCTGGGATAAATAGTTACTTAAATAATGCATGGTCGTCACCAACCAAAAATATTAATATCTTATCCATGTATAAGCCATTTCGTTACCACACGCCCCCCCTGGTTGTGCTTTTTGGAAGTGGAAGCACTATTCTCATTTCTAAGTGGAAGGAAATGCTTGCGAAAAATATCTAGACGATTTGGTAAAGTCAAGATTAGAATATTCAATATTCAGACATTTACATCATACGTGCTACAATCTCAAAGTCAAACATGACAAGGAGACAAATTTACTTGTTAATCTTGGTCATAATATCATGCGCAGGTTCTATATTGAACGAGCGCGTCGAACAGCAAGTTTGTTTAGCTGATAACGCTGCTCTTGGTACTGAAATCAATTTTGAACATCTTGAAGAAATCTCGGCTTCTTATGACGCAATCTTAAACAGAATCAACAGTTTGCTTGTCGCAAATGGTGTGGTCGTGATTCGAAATCAGACGATGAACAGAGTAGCTCAATACAATTTCACACGAAATTTGGGTTCTGTGGTTATACTTCCGGAATCATTTGAGGGCAAAGACCCGGAACCAGGGCTTCCAGCTATTCAGAGGGTCACCAACTATTTCCACAACGGGACATGGAAAGGCAGACGCCATTGCTTTGGATGTTATTGGCACAAGGACGGGAATTTTCAATTCGACGATTACATTGGTGGTGTTCTCTATGCTGAGAAAGTAGAAAAGTCAGCAACAACAACAATGTTTCTGGATAATTGCGCTGCCTACGACCTCATCCCCCCAGACCTAAGAGCACGGATCCAGGACACAATATTTTCGGTGTCGGTACGAGACATCCCAGACTTTAAGAATGGCACAGAAAAAGATTTTGCCCTTTTTCCAGACGCAGCACGACATCCCATATTCTACAATCACCCAGGCTCCGGGCGTCGTTGTTTGTATCTGACCAACACAATGGTGACACTGCGACCTAAGAGTGTAAACGAGATGACAGATCTTCAAGAGGCATGGGATATCATGATCACTCAGGCACCCAAGTATCAGCACTACTGGACAGCAGGAGATGTCGTCATTTGGGATAATCTGGCGGTCATGCACAAAGCTGGGGAGAAACGGTCTGGGTGTTCTCCCAAAGATCCACGAATGCTTTTCAGAACGCAATATCGTATCGGTAAAACTGGTAGTAAAAGATAACTTGGATGATGTAATTCACCATTAAAATTTATTAGATTTTTCCAGAAAGAAACAGAATATACCATGTTGTTTAAAAGTGTGGGTAAAAATGTGCACTGTTTAGATTTATAATATAACAAATATAATACACGTGTGCTGATTGGTCCAGAGGCGGTCTCCTTAACTGTGTACAGTAACACAGGATTTTTCCACCTCCCGGCTTTAAATTTTAAAACTTGAACAAAAATTCATTATTAGTAGTGATTTTTTTACTAGAAAAATTTTAATCTCGCTAAAAAAGGAACAAAAAGAGGTCCCCGTGTTTAAATAATGGAGAATTATTTTATTAGACCAAGCTCAATTACATTGTTCGATGTAAATAATGTTTCAATGTTTTTCTTTTCTTTCTATGCAGTTATAAAAACACTTATGGGGCTTATAACGTTAAAACGTGCTTGTTTTCCCACTGACTATTTCTCGTTTTCCCAAACTCCCTCCCGTGTTTCTATAACTGTATAAGGACACGAAAAATCTTTTCGTTCTTAAATGTTAGCTAGTTTCAGAATGAGTTTCATCAACTTTAGGTGATTGTAGTATAAGTATACCTGTTCATTTAGCCGAATAAAACACTAAATAACAAATTTTCAAACGATATATACTAATCTTATTCCAGGAACTTTCTCAAAAGCACATTGTTACATAAGTTATGCGCCTGCGTATAATGATGCTTATTTTAAAAGCATCTTAAATCTCTCCTTTACAGTTACAAGGGCAAAAACACCTGCCGAAAGTTTAACGAATATCATCGTAATTCGTTCTTTTAAAAGGCGACAAAAAATGTAGGGCAATAATTATTTTTATTATATGACTAGTGTTTGTTTTTGTAAATCCTGCAATTTGATTGGCTGCTGACGAGGCGGGATTTTCCCATATTGCCCACGGGCAATACGCTCAATTTTTATTGCTCTCGGGAAAAACAACAGCAATTCGAAATGAATTATTATTCGTGTTTATGGTTTTCCCAAATTAAGTCATATAATAAATAACTTACTGACTTCGATTGTTCGGTCTGTACGGTAAAATATCAAACCTCGGTCGTGCCGTATTGACCTCGCTATCGCTCGGTCAATACGGCACGACCTCGGTTTGATATTTTACCGTACAGACCTCACTCTCAGTCAGTAAGTTCTTAATATTTTTCCACTGCCCATGCACATCATAAATTAATTCGCCTCCACACTTCTATAGCTGTTAACTTCCCACTGCAATGGATATTTTCTCTAGAAACGAATGAATCATGAGGTTTCTTCATTTCGAGATCTGCAACAATCATTATATACAGAGTTACTTCACATATTGCATTGTAAAGACAATCGATTTCAGAAAAATATTGTGCAGGGGGCGGCTTGATACCGTTTGGCTTAAACGGTGATTAGTAAGTTCAAAATAGAAAGCAAATCTATCGTTTTATTTAACAAGCAAAGTAAATGTTTTTGAACTTAATACAAAGATACTGTTTACAATTACATATTCAGTGCATAATATTCAAGTTGACTCATTTGAGGGAGTTGTAAGAGTGTTATTTTATTTTGACTTATCCACCGTTTAAGCTAAACGGGCTTGATACAACACACTATGCAGTATTTTTGAATGTGTGAATATGGCCTATCCAATTATCGATGCTGGCTACGCCACTGCTGGTGCAGCTGCTACTTTTTGTTTAACAAATGAATTAGAATGAAAAATCAGCTGTATAGTTAGTCTTAGGCAATAGAATTTTCAACAAAAAATTCATCTTATCCCGCGTTTCAGCGTTTGAACCGTTTCCCTATGACAATACTACTATAGGAATATTCATCATATCAGTTCGAGAGATTATCCCAAAAAGTGAATGTTGAAAGTTTACCAGAGTTTCATCAAAGCGTGAGGTAATTTTGAGGCATTAAAATAATCCTTTTTGAAACCTAACAAGCACATGCTATTGTCAAGAAGACAACGCGTCCTTGAAGGTCCCATTCAAGATCTAGCATTTAAAAAACCTAGTTGTAAAATCGAGCAATTGTAAGTTAACGATATTTAATTTTGAAAAAGGTGTTATTAAGTCATATCAAAACCGCTGGGGACCCTTGTGTGCCGGCGGCCACCTGGATGCACCCTCTCTTTGTTTATAAAAACTAGCTCTACTATACTGCCGTCATAGGTGTTAACATCATTTTCATTATTCCTGCGATAATACTCAACGTTGTTCTAATAATAGCGATTTGGAAATCGTCTCAACTGAGAAACAAGCCTTGCTATTTTATCGTTTTGATCCTGCCCGTGCATGATTGACTTAGCAGTTGCTTGGAATACCTTTCTTCGTCGCCGTTTTGATAGTAAGTGTATTAAATAGTGGATCGAACTGCTTTCTTTCATTCTTAGCATTCAAAGTAGCATCTACACTATTTGGATTATCAAGATTCACGTTGGTTGTAATGACGGGGGAGAGGTACATTGCTACCCTACACTACCACAAATACACTACTCTATAGTGACGAGGAGGAGGCTGCTGATGTTCGTGTTTTCAACTTCATGCATGAGCTACATGATACCATTTTCGCTGCTTTCTGTGCGCGGTTGGGCGACAGGCTTGTGAGAATATACCCGGCCGTCGTAGGGTTACTTATACAACCAAAAGGGTCTATGCCAATGCATAAATATGATCCCGATACCATTAATTGGTACGCAGCATCGGGAAGAAGGTTTCACCAAGCACACAGAAACTTCACACATAGACTTTCTACCATGGCAACAGCGCGTATTTGATTAAACACTTTTTCCCATCCTTCTCGCTATTTCATTCGGTTAATCTTTCAACGTTTTAATCACTTTTTTTTCTAATTAAAAATGATTCGCTTTTCAGTAAAGAGTAAGTAAGTACAGGTGTATTTTTTCATTTGGTATCTTATTTTTTTATTTTGGACATCTGTTTTTATGTACAAAATAAAAAAATTCTCCGAGTGAAATCCTCAAAATGCAAAATGCATCCCATTGAAAACTTACTTGGCTAAAGTGTCGAATTAGGAATACACTTCGTGTTGTACGACAAAGAGATTTTTAACCCGCTCTTGTAACATGCAATTACAATAGAAAACGTTTGTGTTCAACCAATCATTCTTTAAAGATATACTATCGTTAGGTTGGTATGAAAATAAGGCTTAGAAACCATTTTGAAATTTTGTTGGCATTTATGTGAACTCTCGCTGCCCTCTGCAGGGGTTCAATGACTTCAATTTCTGGCTATGTGGCATGCACATAATGCATACATATTTCGCCGACACTTCACCACCTATTTTATATATACGCTGTAGCTTCATGCATTCAGACAGTAAGTTTGTTTCACAAACTTTTTTACATGTATACTATGAGATATCGACAGGCTCCATACAAAAAGTCGCTGTAAAAAGCCCCGAAAATATATTCGTGTTGGAGAAAGTTTTAGTAAGTATAAATTATTATATATATATAAAGGTCAAAATAAAGTTCTGCAAAATTTATGGTAAATTTTGCGCTAATTTTACATTACATTACATTACATTAGCTACATCATCATTTTTTCCATAAGCGTCTTCTTTCTGTGCGGGTCTAAACCCGACATATGAGGCAGTCCAATGGCGCACCAATCCAAATCTTTTTCAACTTCGATCTCATGAACACCGTGGTATAAAATACCATCGATTTTTAATTTACAGTAAACAATTCGCACAAGCTCACCGTTTATATCGGTAAATGAGTTGACGAATGATTTTGCAGTTTTGAGATCGAGTGGAACGCTAGTAACATCCGAGCCGGTGTCGAGTTTAGCTTTTCCTTTAAATTTAACTTCATTCGTGAACGGATCGATTAGCTCGATATCGACAACCGGCAGCGTTGCAGTCGTCAAATGCGAATTCTGCGCATTTTTTTCGTTCGGCAAATCGAATATTCTGCAAAATAATATCTGTTTTTTTTGCAGCATGACAACCGCTTGCTGTTCATCATGAATTAAATCATACCTCAAACACTTCTCCTCGTCACGGTAGAAAATAACGTGGTTTAAAGCGTCTTCATCCGGACGTTGTTTACACTCTTCGAATATTTCTTTTTCATTTTCCTCGTAAAAGGCTTTGAGTATTTGGTATGTCTTCTTATCTTCTGCGTCAGGGTTAGTTTTTCTCTGTGGAAAATATACACAATAGCATTCTTTATAATATTTGTTGTATTAATTGATATAAGCTTTATGTTCAATATACCATTAGTGGCAGTACATGCATGTTAAAAAATAAGTACACAATTTCTGCATATAAAGCATAAAATAGAATTTTCATTGTCTTAGGGGAAAACTTTGTCGAGGATTGTCCACAATTTGTAATCCTTAATCATTAGAAAAACCTGGAAAAAGTTATTGATTCTCCCCTGATGGGTAGACGTTCCCCAACCATTTTTTGGCACATTAACACGTTTGGTGGGGAAAGTTATTACTACATCTTGTTCGATCCAGTTTGCCCAGGTTTTTTCTCCCTGCATGAGCTAGCCCTAAATCCGTGCTAAGATGGCTATAATTTATAGACGCGTATTGAGGGGGATTCGGTGAAATTCCGTATTCCGAATTCGACGTCCCAAAGTGTTGACTTTTTCCGAAGTGTTTATGAAATATCATTAATAAGGGAATATTTCGACGAATATACCGACTGATAATATACAGAAAAATTCTAAGCTTGTAAAATAGTCAGCAGGTCCCTCAATAATATTAAACTTGAGTTGAATGCTATATGCGCGAGGAAAACACTCTGACATGCGTTAGTCTTTCTTGTCACTCAGAAAACCATAACAACGCACTAAAGAATCCACAAATTTTAGAAAAAGGAGGGCATCTTGTTATACCACGGCAGAAAATTCCAAATATTTGTTAGGTCTTCAAAACATTACTTTTACCTGTGAAATTTTTATTGCCTCAATGGCAACTCGATGTAGACGGATATCCTTTTTATTTACCACATGAAGAAACCATGGGCAGTGTTTTATCGCACGAATGATATCCTTGGTATCCAGCTCTTTTTTTTGCTGCTGAATGTATTTCACAACAAGATCAAGTGGTAGTGGTTCAAACGATATCAAAGAGAAAAGGTTGAATGCCTTTCGAAATATTTCGCAAAAAGTTCCAGGAATGTTGTTTTTTTCAACAGCTAAAAGCACAGATGCGAGCATTGTGGGTGATGTTACTGAATTTATCTCCATTTTAATTATTTCGCTTCTAGCATTTTCGAACCTGTGTAAATAATCTCGCCACGAAAAATCTAGACTACTCCGTTTCATGTATTCTGCTGCCGCTGCCATTGTCAGTGGCTGACGATCCAATTTTTCTGCCACCTCGTCTAGCAAAATTTGATCATTGGCGTCTCTCTCTGATAACTGGGCAAGAAGCTGGCGAGATTCGGTTTCATTCATACCGAGACTAAGTGAAAGATGCTTAGTTGAGGTGCTGTCCTTTGGGACTTCATTTGTAACTTGTGCTGTTACTACAATTTGACCGTTATACCAAATTTTGTCGTCCGTTAGGGGCAGAAGTGGGGAAATGAGCTCTGAATTTTCCATATTGACCACAATAATCCACCATTTATTCCAATTATGAATTCTGCTAAATATTTCCGATCTTAAAACTTGGATTTTCGTTTCTGTTTGCCATGAACATAATAATATACGTCCCAAAACTTCTTCTTTGCAACCCAGGCGTCGACAGAACTCTTCATACGAATGGAGCAGAGAATCTAAATCTCTTCCGTCCAATGTCATTACAAACATTCCTTTAGCCTCCCAATCAACATTTTTGCAAATATCCTCAAACACTTGTCTGACGATTTCTGACTTTCCAGAACTTCCAGACAAATAGAAATATGTAAGTCTGTGGCCATTATCGCTGCGCAACTTTTCAAGATTTTCTCTAATTTCTTCTATCTTGTCAGAACGGTAAATGACTTCATGACTTGGTTTAGGCGGTAGAACGTTGAACGAATCATAAAAAGAAACAAAAGAGTGGTTATTTGTAAATAATGAAACCATTTCACTGTCTGGCATTCCTAATACAATCAATGCAGCTACAGTCTTTGCTTTCATAGCTTCAAAGTTTTCAGTGGTGAGTTTTACTTCATGACAACGAGCTAAAGAATTTTTCATTCTTCTGAGATCATCGACTGCCCTCCTAATTGTTGGATGAATACTTGCACCAATTGCCTTGGTACAAAGAATTGCCTTAAATAGTAGACTACAATCCCATTGGTTTGTATCTCCACATTGAAATTCATCGTGTAAATTTTGTGACGATTCCATGCTAAAGAACATACGACCACTTACAGGAGTGTCATCCCATGCGCCTGGTTGATCGCGGTAACGAATGTTCCACTGCCGGATGAATTCTTTTCTCAATTGCCTCTTTGCAACATTGTAGATTAGATTTTGCATATAAAGGAAGTTTAGTTTTTCTGTGTTATCCTGTAACAGAGCCAAGTTTCTTGCATCTAAAAATTTTAAATATAAAAATAATTTTTAACAGAAAAATGGATAAAGGACATCAACAAATGGACTTTCCCTGGGTAGAATTAAAACACCTTTTTGAAATAAATATACCAACATGCAACCTACATAGCATGCGGTTTTGATATCTTGATTGTTTCAGTTTCTTTTCACTTACCACGCAACACTTACTAGACTCAAAAAAAACAACACTTACTTGACTCAACAAGACTCAAAACGTCTTCTTCATTATGATACACGTCTGACATACTGTTCTAAGTTATATAAAACGAAATAAATAAATCAAGTTAGTACTTGAAGGAGAACTCTGTGGTTTATAACGCTGAATAGCCTGAATCTGTATAATCATTAATATGTCGCTTACATCACACGCGGCAAACATTATTTCAGAACTCTTCACTTTTCCAAACCATTAGGGCTGCCTCCCACTTACGCGCATTTCATACACACGTTCACGCAAGTAAAAGTCTAACTCGTTATATATGTCATCTTACTTGTCAAAAAACTAAGTGAATAAATCAAAATTTCAGCATAGTCTAGTATGCATTTGTTGAACTAGATTTTAAATAATGAAAATTTAAAAGCCCGTGTTAAGGTCGTGAATAATTAATGATCTAACTTCCAATCATTGCGTAGTATTTTGGTCACATGCATGCATCTGTTTAACAGTTAGTCGCCGAAGGCGAGGTGATTAATCGTTTTAGTATCAATTTCGAGGTGTTAAACAAATAGTATAAATCACAGCGCAACTGGACTAAGTTTTATTATTTCAAATAGCCGAGTATAACAGGTGGCCTAAACTCGGTTTGCCCGCGCGCCCGCAGAAGAGAATAATAATATAAAGTAGGAGGCCAATAATATAAAGTAGGAAGTTTGAGTCCAGTGACGGTATTTCATTGTTTTAGCAGCGTATATTAATTTTCTACAGAAAACCTTACCGATAAATGAACTAGAAAAAAGTAAATAAGTAAACTGAAAAATACATGCTGCACAACAACTATGAGATGTTATGATATTCATTTAACGTATGTTAATGTGCAAACATGCATTACATGTCCATGCTTAGTATCCCTCTTTTTTGCTCTTGAAACGGCCTTTATTCTTCCTGGCATAGATTCTATAGATTTTTTAATTCCGCACGTTCAATACTTTGCCAGCATTCGCTGACCACTTGCCTCAAGTCATGGGTCTGTGCCTCGCCCTTTTCTTTTTAAAACGGTCCTACAAGTGCTCCATAGGTTTTAGATCTGGAATTTGAGGTGGAAAGCCATGAGAACGAGATCACCAGAACGAGTTTGCTTCTAAAAGATTTCTGGCACATAGAAGATGTGCATGTGTTTAGGGTGATTATCATGAAATTCCATGTTCTTGAAGATCTGGGTGATACTTTTCTTTAATTAGGATCCTATTATATCTTTCAATATTGCCAAACCCAGCATGAACGAAGCAGCTAAAAGTTTGCTTGAGTAGGATTTAGTTTCTTCGAACCTCTCCAAGGTTAGTTGCATACCACCTTTTGAAATTCTCACCTTTTCTGCGATCTTACGAGGAAAAAATCCTTCAATACTTAATGCAAGTATTTGTTCTTGTGCACCATCACTTTGCCCTTTTTCCCACCCATCTTGGGTTGTGTAAAGGAATAAGAACTTTATTTTGTTATAATTTAGATCAATATACGACCAAAACAGTGTGCAATTAATATGGTTTACAGTATTGAAACACTAGCACGCATGTCTTAACTCGAATACTCTGCCAGGATTTAATGCTTGAATTCTACAACGACTGGACTCAAACTTTTGCCCCCTACTGTACATGCAGTAGGACAGCGTACATAGCAACCGTTGTATTTTTTAGATTGCAAATCTGCTACGCAGGCTAGCTGTAGAATAACTATTAGTATTAGAAGAGTTTGGAATCAGCCTTTGAATGAAAACTGCACTAATACCTAAAGTTCTTTATTCACAAATGATGACCTTGGCTTCGACGAATTAATATATAGAATTAATTATTATGTAGAAAGACAGAGAGACAGTATCTAAAGACAAATGCATAAATTTCCAATGACATTTAATCTAAAATGTAGAGTGCATAATATACATAAATCTTACGATCTTATTCAGCGTTATTCACCCAGAATCATTGCTTGTTGGAAAAAAGGAAAATGCTTTATACTTGTCTCATACACGACTCCATTTTGTTCAACAATTCAACGTTGTCACTATGTATTCTAGTATTCTCGTATTGAAGCATTTCATACAAAGTGATTTGATAAGATTTAAAATTGTGCATGCAGTGATGAAAGATTATTTTATGTCTTTTATAAACAGCTTTAGCCTATACGGCGCATAACGCGCTTTATTGTGTATTATTTTGCAATTGGCCGAATTGACGTAGTTATCAAGCTTGTGAATTTACTTTAATATTCACCTTCCGCGTCGTTAGTAGAGAAGTCGACCAAACGATATTTCGGCACTATATAGATATCGAGCCAATATAGATTGGATAAACGTATTGTTGTTAAGTCGTACGTATTTTACTCTGTGTGTGTCTTGTGCCGTTGTGCGGTGTAACTAGGGATGTAACCAGGGATTAACTATTACGCAGTGTATCTATTTTCAAAATCAAAACCTCTTATTTTTAGTTGAAACTATTGATAATTATAAATCACTCATCGGATTGCTTTAGATCCTCAGAAAAAGGCCATTTCAGAATGGCCATTAAAAACTAAGTGAATAAATCGAAATTTCAGCATAATCTAGTATGCATTTGTTGAACTAGATATTAAATAATGAAAATTTAAAAGCCCGTGTTAAAATCATGAATAATTAATGATCTAACTTCCAATCATTGCCAGTATTTTGGTCACATGTATACATCTGTTTAACGGTTAGTCGCCGAAGCCGAAGGCGAGGTGGTTAATTGTTTTAGTATCAATTTCGAGGTGTTAAGTAAATAGTATAAATCACAGCGCAATTGGACTAAGTTTTATTATTTCAAATATAGCCGAGTATAACAGGTGGCCTAAACTCGGTTTGCCCGCGCGCCCGCAGAAGAGAATAATAATATATATATGCAGTAGGACAGCGTACATAGCAACCGCTGTATTTTTTGGATTACGCAGTTGTTTAAATATAAAGTCCCCCGCCGCAAATCTGCTACGCAGGCTAGCTGTAGAATAACTATTAGTATTTGAACAGTTTAGAATCAGCCTTGAATGAAAACTGCACTGACAAATACCTCGAGTTCTTTATTCACGAATGATGACCTTGGCTTCGACGAATTATTATACAGAGTTAATTATTATGTAGAAAGGCAGAGAGACAGTGTCTAATGACAAATGTTAAATGTCTAATGACATTTAGTCTAAAATGTAGAGTGCATAATATACATAAATCTTACGATCTATATATTCGGAGGCATTGCTTGTTGGAAAAAAGGAAAATGCTGTATACTTGTATTATAAACAGCCCCAATTTGTTCAACAATTCAACAGTTTGTCACTATGTATTCTAGTATTCTCGTATTGAAGCATTTCATGCAAAGTGATTTGATAAGATTAATTGTACAGTGATGAAAAATTATTTTATGTCTTTTATAAACAGCTCTAGCCTATACGGTGCATAACGCGCTTTATTAATATGGCCGAATTCACGTAGTTATCAAGCTTGTATAAATTTTTTTTTGTACTTTAATATTCACCTTCTGCGTCGTCAGTAGAGAAGTCGACCAAATGATATTTCGGCACTAAATAGATATCGAGCCAATATGGATTGGATAAACGTATTGTTGTTAAGTCGTACGTATTTTACACTCTTCAGTTGTGTGTCTTGTGCCGTTGTGCGGTGTAACTAGGGGTGTTACTGTTTAACTATTAAGCAGTGTATCCATTTTCAAAATCAAAACATCTTATTTTTAGTTGAAACTCCTTAGATAATTAGACTGTAAACGGTTTGAAATTTTATGAAGCACTCATCTGATTGCTTTAGATCCTCAGAAAAAGGCCATTTCAGAAAGGCCATTACACGTATCACTACAACTTAATTTTATTCTTAATCTCAAATCTCAATTTCAATCTTATTTTTAGTTTAAACTCCTTAGATAATCATAATTACACTAACAGACCCAAGGCCCCAAGAGGCCCTTGGGTAACTCGAATTTCAAAGCATTCTTAGATTTCCATAGAAATTATAAAATTTCCTTAACAAGTACGATCGTACTATAGTGGACCAAGAACTTCGTGACCGAGTTTCTGAACTGCATTGTATTTACAACAATAGAGAGGACAATGTATTTCTAATCGTTTGCGTTTACTTATATATAGGTTGAATATTAATGATATGTATATATTATTTGCTGCAAATATAGTCAAGAATTGCTTGTAACTTGCTTCAAAGGTCAAAAGTAAAAATTCGAACTCCGTCAATCGATGCGGAATATTGCTTAGAATAATTGTGCCAAGTTTCATTCCGATCAAACAAGTAATGCTACAGCCTTGGGGTTTTTTTAAAGAGCGTCGCCCCCTAACAACAACAACAACAACAACAACAACAACAACAACAACAACAACAACAACAACAACAACAGGATTAGCAGCGGTTAGGGACCAGTTCCTGGTCCAAAAATTGAAGCACTGCTGTTGCATCAGCATCAGAATTTTTGTTTTTTTCAACTGCACTCTTGTGTTGATACAACCTTATATTGACATTAATTTTCGTAGAAACAGTCTCTCCTGTAAAATAATGTATACAGCATATTTTCAAATTAGGCAGCTTGTAGAAGCGACCCATCAATGTGTGTAAATCGATCGCCAAAGCGTTTTAAACGTCGGCTCTATTGATATCTTTCAACGCAAAGAATTTATGGTAATATAGATTTATTAATTTATGGGTATATACAAGTTAGCTCACAAACGAAACTGCTATTTTAACATTAATTTCTGTTAATTTACATCAGGTTCTTCATTGAATAAGCCAAAAATCGAAAATACTTAGAAACATGTATGCATGCGATCCACTTTTCCGAATTTAAAGCCGTGATTGCATGATCTAAATTGTGAATTTTCAAGCCGGAATTCACCCCCCCCCTAACCATTTTAATTTTTCACCAGCTAAACCTACTGACGAATATATTTAGCTGCAATACAATAGGGTATTACAGTGAGCCAGGTATGCATACAGGTTGATATACACTACGCATTAGTTGTTTACAATGTGTTTTCATATAATAATCATGCAGTACATAAATTCAAATTTTAAGTAATTTTTAAGTGTATTTTTCTATTATACAAATATCGATATTGCCATTTTCGAATCTGATCTTCAAGAAAACGAGACTTTATTTACATTCCTCGGCAAAAAGTTATGGGAAAAAGTAACACAGGAAAAATATTTCTTATTTCTATTTTAATAAAACGAAAACAAGTTTTTATACAAATTTTTAATTCGAAAATCCTCATAACATTATTTACAACGAGCAATGAACAATGAATGATGTATTTCATTTTGTGCTTTGTGAGAGATAGTCCGAGAGTAGTTCTCCATAGTCCATAGTTCTCCATTATCGACACACAGGAATAACCCCTTTGTTCAGGAGTTCGTATATTTAACATTATTATGGTTAAGTATAGCACTATTAACTACATTGTATCATGTTTTTAAATTTGAAGGCGGCGGAGGCGGGAAATTTTCGTGATTCTATATAGTTATAGAAACACGTTTCTTGACCAATCAGCACGCGTGTTCTATATATGTTATTATTAATCACTTTATGAAACTTTTCAATATCTCCTTCTTTGTCTTCATGTTCAAACGCGCAAATTGGGGAAGTCCAATGGCATACCAATCCTGATCTTCCTCAATTTCGATCTCATGAACGCCATCCAATAAATAACCATTTACTTTTATTTTAGCGTACACAATTGGTACTAACATATCGTTTAGAACGGTGAATGAGTTAACCAATGACTTCATTTTTTGGCGATTGAGAGGAAAACTAGCAATATCTGCACCGCTGTCGAATACAGCTTTTACTCTCAATATAACCTTCTCCGTAAATGGATCTATTAGCTCCACATTGATATTCGCCAAATTTTTAGTCGTTAATTTCTCTCTTTTTCGCTTGCCCGGCAAATGGAATATTGCGCACAAAGATTTCTGTTTCTTCTGTAGCATGATCACCCCTTGTTCTTTATTGCGACAAAAACTATACGTGAAGCCCTTTTCGTCATCTTGGTAAACAAAAACGTAGTTTAACGCCTCTTTATCTGAACGTTCTTCCAACTTTTCGGATATCTCTTTTTCTTTTTTAGAATGAAACCGTTGGAATGCTTTGAATTTCTTCATGGCCTTATGAGTTTGACTTTTTTCATCGTCCTCCTGTAGCAATAAAAACAGTATTGTTTATTATTGTTATTGTGTATTTAACCTCTATGTGTAATATATAAAACCTCAGTGACTGTACTGGGTACATATAGTGGGCGATGAAATCCGCACTAGAACGCCGGTCGGTGTGTGATGCGGCAAAGGAATGTCATGAGTGCGTTTTCAGGGAAAAATGGCAAGAACTGTGATTTTCGTGTATAGTGTTCCTTTCACTTTTACGCATAATGTTACCAGAGCCGTATAGAGACTGCGTAATTGAGGGTGGGGGGTTATTCATATATTTATGTTTAAATATCATAGGAATAATAGCGTACAAAAGAAATCAGTCGGACATAAGACGAATATATGAACACGCGTTACACGCCTTCTAGCTACGGCCCTGAAAGTTACGCGGCTGTGTTTTTAGCAAATACATGCAAGCCCATCTTGTTTCTTTAAAGCTATAAAAGTGAAATAAAACGAAATACCATTCTCGTTAAGAAAAATGATCACATATAGCTACCTTGTCTCCAGTTGTTTCTCCTATAACAGGTTCTTGTTGTTCAGCCTCACCTTCACCTATTACAGGAAAGAGAGCGAATGAAAGAAATTAAAGAAATGCTTTTAATACATGTACAAAGTGTAAGTTGAGGCTCGAAAACAGAAATAGCGGCCGGGCAAGAAAATTTCATTGCTCAAGGTGGCTGATTTGACACTAAAAACAAGCAAAATGAATTATATTTTGCGTTGTCACAACCGCAAAACGCACGCTTCGCTAAAGCCGCGGCTAATATTGTTCAATCTTGTCAAAAAGTGTGAACAATATTCGCAGTACAACCGCCCACTCAGAGTTTTTTGCCGTGTAGCAAGCAGTCTGTGAACATGCATCAAATGTCATTTATATAATAACTGGAATGAAACACGCAATTTGATTGGTTTGTAGGCGTGCAGTATGAGACAATCCTGCACGGAAAGTTTACAATGCCGCTTTGCGTGGGAAATTTTACCGTCGTTTCGTTGTAGTTATTTTAAAAGAAAATACTAAATGGTTTTCCGTGCAGGATTGCGTGATACTGCACTTAGGAAATTGCTCGACTTTCGGATAGCGTGAAAAAGTGCACGCCTACGGCTCGTGCTTTTTCACGCTTTCCGAAAGTCTCGTAATTTCCCGCATGCAGTATCACGCAATCCTGCACGGAAAACCATTTAGTATTTTCTTTAGTAGCAACGAATAAATAAGTTCTATGACATACATGTTGTTGTTGGATTTTGAGATTCAACAGATTCGGGGCCAGATATGTCAAAATCCTGGCTAAGACTTGGTCCTTGACAAAAGAAACTGATACGTTAGATTTTCACATGAAAAAATCAACTGGTTTATGATGCACAGTATATGTCAAGAATACTGTGAAAAATTGAAAATAGACCGATGGCATAGTTATGTTCGCAAGTTAGAATGATAATCATCTTAATTTTTACCAGCTAAACCTACTGACGAATATATTTAACCGCAGTGAATATATAGAGTCACAAAAATAATACAATCATAACATTTTTTACAATACGAAAAGCATAAAATGATGGAATGTTTGATCGCTTTACTTTGTCTCAACTTAATTGAAAACATCTTCCCATGGCCATGCAGATAACATGAAGTTGGAGAATCTTTGATTGAACGTTAATGAGATCATATCAGCAGTAATATTTTGCCACGTGCTGAGGTTCGTTTTGTGTCAGTGAGAGGCAAAAAGGGTAAATTGTTTGGTTAACTTATAATAATAAATTACATTTTTCAGCACAAATTACCTTGGTAAGCTGAAACGTCTTTGTGGTTGGTTCCAAATTGTTCCGAATCCTCTTTCGAAGCCTGCTGTGATAAGTCACAGTTGAGAATTTTTGGAGAAAAAAATTGAAGAATGGAGAGTTTAAAACTAAGTGTTGTTCTAACCCACCTCACCCCCCCCCAAACAGTGGAAACTCCCACTTCTGTTGCAGCACGCCAGTAAAATCAGTACTTACACTGAAAGTGTAGCTACACTGCAAGGTATATGCCAATTAGCCGTATGACGGGTGTAATAGTGAAAAAAAAAAAAAAAATATATATATATATATATATATATATATATATATATATGTATATATATAATATATATATATATAATATATATATATATATATATTATAATATTATATATAATATATATATATATATATAGGCAAAATATCTGGCATTATATATATATATATATAATGCCAGATATTTTGCCTTGAAGATATATACAAACTTTTGTGCTCGAGTTATGCATCTAACTACACCAAGAAACTGTTGGTGAGCCACGTGAAGTAAACTTTTGCTGAGAGAAATTATGCCGACATGTACCTTGTCTCCAGTCGTTTTTCCTATCACAGGTTGTTGCTGTTCAGCCTCATCTGCTACACGAAAGAGAGAAAATAAAAGAAATGCTTTTAATACATGTATAAAGTGTAAGCTAAGGCTTGAAATTCTTATTAAATGGAATCAAAATGACACCCTTAATAAACCAACATATTTTTATGCTCCTTTGTTCATCTTAGCGTAGGATCAAATTTACACTAAGTACTTCCAGTGCGAGTCTTGTGGAGCTATTTTGATTAGCGCAGGCGCAGTCAGCCAATTAATATTTCATATCAAAAGACTTAATAATACGAGTTATGATCTATACGAGTCGATATCCTTTTATGCTTCTATACGAGTCGTGTCAGTGAGGAGTTCTGAACATTTATGACGTCACACAATGACGTCACCACACTTCACCCTCGCTAAGAGAGCCCCCTCTGGTAAATTTAGTTCCACAGCGTGACAGTATAGACATGCAATTGTATAATATAGGCGAAGTAAATGAATCTAGCTACATTCTAAAAATTACAGCCAGCATATTTCACTTTTAGCAAGCAGTCTGCGAACATCAAATTATTATGTATACAAATAAATAAGTTCCGTAACATACATGTTGTAGCTTGTTGGGGTTCCTTGGATTCTTGGCCAGATATGTCCAAATCCTGGCAGAATATGGTTTGTGTAGGCCTTGGTCCTTGACAAAGAAACTGAAATGTCAGATTATCACACGAAAGACATACTTCACTTGTTATGCAAAATCAACTGGTTTATGATGCATAATATGTGAAGGATACTGCGAAAAATTGATAATAGACCGGTAGTATGTTCGCAAATCAGAATGATAACCATCTTAATTTTTCGCCATTGAAGTAAACCTGCCGACGAATATCTTTAGCTGCTACAATAGGGTATTACAGTGAGCCTGGTATCCACTCAGGTTGATATTCACTACGCAGTTAGTTGTTTACAATGTGCTTTCATATGAGGTAAATACATACAAATTTACAGTTATTTTTAAATATATTTTTTCTATGGCACAAATACCTATTTTTCCAATACTTCGAATCTAATCTTCAAGAAAACGAGTCTCTATTTGCATCACTCGGCAATTAAAATGTTAAAATGGGGAAATAATTTCTCTAACATCGTCATTTGTTGCATTTGCGTCATTGAGAATTTTTGGAGTCGACTATGATTACTGAATAAATATTCAAAATATAACATTTGACTGAAATAATAGATGCGCAGCCAGGAGTTAATAAAAAATTAAAAATATAAAAACAAAACTGGTGAGAGAGCGTTTTTTATGCTTTATCCGAGTGAAATGCTTTTTTATTTGATAAAATATTTAATTTTTTCCGAATAACGTGCAACGATGCACAAATTGCGTTGGTAAGCTGAAAAAAATTACCTTGGTAAGCTGAAACGTCTTTGTGGTTGGGTCCAAATTGTTCCGAATCCTCTTTCGAAGCCTGCTGTGATAACTCACAGTTGAGAATTTTTGGGAAAAAAATTAAAGAATGGAGAGTTTTAAAACCAAGTGTTGTTCTAATCCCCCCCCCCCAAACAGTGGAAACTCCCACTTCTGTAGCAGCACGCCACTAAAATCAGTACTTAAAGTGAAAGTGCAGTTACACTGCAAGGTATATGCAAATTAGCCGTATGACGGCTGTAATAGTGAAAACATATATAGCCATATATTGCCAGGTACAAGTTATGCATATAGTTTTTAAGTCCAGATATTTTGCCTTGAAGATATATACAAACTTTTGTGTTCGAATTATGCATCTAACTACACCAAGAAACTGTTGGTGAGCCACGTGAAGTAAACTTTTGCTGAGAGAAATTATGACATATACCTCGTCTCCAGTCGTTTTTCCTATCACAGGTTGTTGCTGTTCAGCCTCATCTGTTATACGAAAGAGAGGAAATAAAAGAAATGCTTTTAATACATGTATAAAGCGTAAGCTAAGGCTAGAAATTTTTATTTAGTGGAATCAAAATGGCATCCTTAAAAAAACCAATATCTTTTTATGCTCCTTTGTTCATCTTAGCGTAGGCTCAAATTTACACTAAGTACTTCCAGTGCGAGCTAGTCTTGTGGAGTTATTTAGATTAGCGCAGGCGCAAATCCAAATAATATTTTATATTAAAGAACTTAAATATACGAGTTATTATCTATACGAGTCGATATCCTTTTATGCTCATATACGAGTCATCTAAGTGACGAGTTCTTAACATTTATGACGTCACACAATGACGTCACCACACTCCACCCTCGCTAAGAGAGCCCCACTCTGGTAAATTTAGTTCTACAGTACTGTGACAGTATAGACAAGCAGTTGTATAATATACGCGAAGTAAATGAATCTAGCTACATTCTAAAATTAGTTCATAGAATACAGTAAGAGGAAAAAGAAGAAATTAATTACAAAACAAATTAAACTGGAAACATTAACTAGGTAACAGCCAGTGAACTGGTAACAGCAAGCACATTTCACATTTAGCAAGCAGTCTGCGAACATCAAATTACTATGTATACGAAAAAATACGTTATGTAACATACATGTTGTAGCTGAATTTTGGGGCCCCTCGGATTCTTGGCCAGATATGTTCAAATCCTGGCTAAATATGGTTTGTGTAGGCCTTGGTCCTTGACAAAGAAACTGAAATGTTAGATTATCACACGAAAGACATACTCCACTTGTTATGCAAAATCAACTGGTTTATGATGCATAATATGTCAAGAATACTGCGAAAAATTGATAATAGACCAGTAGTATGTTCGCAAATTAGAATGATAACCATCTTAATATTTCGCCATTGAAGTAAACCTGCCGACGAATATCTTTAGCTGCTACAATAGGGTATTACAGTGAGCCTGGTATCCACTCAGGTTGATATTCACTATGCAGTTAGTTGTTTACAATGTGCTTTCATATAAGGTAAATACATACAAATTTACAGTTATTTTTAAATATATTTTTTCTATGGCACAAATACCTATTTTTCCAAATCTTCGAATCTAATCTTCAAGAAAACGAGTCTCTATTTACATCACTCGGCAATTAAAAAGTTAAAATGGGGAAATAATTTCTCTAACATCGTCATTCGTTGCATTTGCGTCATTGAGAATTTTTGAGGTCGACTATGATTACTGAAGAAATATTCAAAATATAACATTTGACTGAAATAATACATGCGCAGCCAGGAGTTAATAAAAAAAATTTAAAATATGAAATTAAAATTTGTGAGAGAGCGTTTTTGATGCTTTATCCGAGTGAAATGCTTTTTTATTTGATTAAATATTCATTTTTTCCCGAATAATGTGTAACACGTTTACCTTCATTATTGGAGGAGGCAGCAACGCCAATTTGATTTCGTTTTGGTGTTTTGAACATAATTTTCAGAGCCCGTCGACAATAATTAAGAGAATCTCGCTCATCTTTATTTTCAAAACAAACATCAGCCAGATTTTTGTAAGACTCAGCAACGCCAACATGGTCTGGTCCAAGTAATGTTAATTTGATATCCAATGCGTCTCGATAAAAACCATGGGCTTCTTTCAATTCACCTTTAATTTTGCTGCACACATTGCCAAGGCTGTCGTAAGAAGCAGCAACGTCAAGGTGGTTACGTCCAAAATTTTCTAACCGAATATCTAGTGCCTGCTGTTGATACTTACGAGCATCATGCAGGTCACCTTTATAGCAACACGCATTACCAAGTTTGTGATAGGTAGTAGACAAATCAATATGGGTTGCCGGCAATTGTTCCAATTGTATTTTCAACGCGCGTTTATAATAACTAATACCACGTTCGAAATTATCTTTATCACAACACACATCCCCCAGGTTGTTGCAAGAAATAGCAACTTCAATATGGTTTGGTTCCAATAGTATTAATCGAATATCTAATGCACTCAAAAGATACTCTTCAGCATGTTCTAAATCACCATTCAACCGACACAAATTTCCAAGGATGTCCCAAGAGGCAGCGACGTCAATATGGTTATCTCCAAGCTTTTTCACTTGAATAACCAATGCCTTGTAATGACTTTTACAAGCACGTTCTAGATCACCTTTCGCACTAAAAACATCACCCTGGCACCCGTAGGTATAAGCAAGATCAAGGTGATCTGGCCCTAATTGCTCCAATTGCTCATTCAGTGCCCGTTTATGTAAGTCCAAAGCAGATTCAAAATCACCTTCATTTCTCTTTTTCACACCAAGGCGGTTCAAAGCCTCTGCAATGCCAAATTGGTATAACTCGTGTTTTTCCAACTCAGTTGTCAGCGTTTGTTGGTGACAATCATTAGATTGTTCCTCGTAACTTTTTTGTAAATTTTGCTCTGATTTAGCTTTTCTTGCTGGTGATTTCTCTCGTACCTTAGCGGACATTTTCGGTCCTAAAATTTTCGATAAACATATTATACAGAGACAAATTTAGGCAGCCAAACTAATAATACCCGTAAAAGCTGACTGGTTTTAAATATGGATGTCTTGTCAAAAAAATATAGTGCAAATGATAAATAGATTACCCCCCCCCCCCATATAGCACACTTTGTTACATTTCACAAATGCGTATGTACGCAGCCTGAAGTCACATGCAACAACAACAACAACAACAACAACAACAACAACAACAACAACAACAACGCACTGCAAGCCGTAACTGTGACAGGCGTAACGTCACACGCGTAACTACGCAGCCTATGTAGCCTATAACTATGTTTACGTGTGTGACGTCAGGATCCGTCAGTTACGTGTGTGACGTAACGCCCGTTAGGGTTACGGCTTGCAATACGTTCTTGTTGTTGTTGTTTTTGTTGCGTGTGACATCAGGCTGCGTACATACCCATTTGTGAAATGTAACAAAGTGCGCTATATTGTAATACAAAACAAGTCCGGCAAAAAAATCTTCCCAAACTGATATTGTGGTTCCCACTATAGCGATACTGTGTGGAGGTTTAGTGATATGTTTGCCTACCATCCAATTGTACTATTTACCAAGCATTGTTGTGATAAAATTTAACAATTATATTGAAGTTCACTAAATTGTATCTTTAAATTACACAAGATATAATCCCAGAGCCGCTGCGGAGCGGCGTGCGAGGGTACTATTTCCGCCCGGAGATTAGGAATTACACCCGGATGTGTGACAGAACATAGCGGAATCCAAAGTTGCCCAAATCCTATGCCGCCATGGATCGTGGAGGTTCAATGGTCATGCGCAAAATTTGATTGAGTGAAGAATGGTAATCAGCAACTTGCTGATTGGTCAAGACAAAAAGTTTGTATTTCAATGAAAAATGTCAGCAATTTAACTGACATTTTGCAAACTATTTTTTAAAAAAAAATGTTTCATAAACACGATATGAAATGTGGAATCAACTAAAATGATATAAACACTGGGAAAAGATTAAAATATTATTAGAACATAGAAAATATTCAACACTAGCGGTGAAATAGAACGACTCGTAGTTTAAACTCGTAGTATATACACCTTGAAGTGCTAGGTGTCTATTTTGTTTATTTCGTGTTTGCTGTAAGAATGCCATTTTATTTTTATAGTACGAGCTCGGTATGTCGTTTTGCTAAGTCCTAACCGACTATTTAATTTTAAGGCTTCAGGGGCGTTGGAAGCATCCAGAGATTGAGGGGGCACCAGCTTCCAGGCCGGGGCACTTTTGGTTAATAAAAAGGGCCACAGAAAATATGTATAGAGACGGTTTAATTGATTGCCAAGCTGCAAGGATACTACCAATGTGATTTTAAATAGTATTCACAGCTACATCAATTTCTCCAAAAAATAAATTTTTCATCACAAACAGGGCACCTTTCGCTCCTTGAAAAATTTCTGGGAGGCATGTGCCCCTGGAGCCCCCTCCCGGTTCTCGTTAAAATTTTTATTGGTTAGAGGTTACAGTTCATGTAAAAATACAACATGAGCATTGTTTTGTTGTCATACTCTCAGAGCTGAAAAGTCTATTGAATTATATACAGAGGATGGTCAAAAAATGTAGCCCTAAGGAAATGTACCACATCCATATGACCATATTGTTTCAATATAAATAAAGGTAGCGCTGTAGCGCAAATAAATGTTGTGTTTGGACTAAGCCCCCCTCCCCGGCCCCTGTCTTAATTTGCAGTCCATGGAATTTCATGGATAAAATAACTAATTAAAAGAATTTGCTTTATGTGTGAAATTGTTGACAAATAAATGATAGAATACAGAGGTTGATCCCTCTGAATTATTTAACTACAGATATTTAATTTTTATTGTAATGAAAATGTTTTGCCTTCTACCTACAATTCCTTAAGATAAACTTACAAATTCTTTACCATTTAAACCACCTACGCAAATGTCTCTTAGGCTAACTGTGTTTGGAGAATTTTATTCATATTATAAGCATTGTTTTCACCCATATTATAATAAATGAAATGAAATCTTCAAAAGTTAGTAGTTTCCAGGCCATGCAGTGCAGTATAGAATGATGTAAAATATGAGGCACTAAGCATACTAAGGAAAATTATGATTCACTGAATTTCTGCCATCTTGGATTTTTGTCTAAAAAATCTCAATAGAACTCCATGATTAACCTCTAAATATCCTCTATCACATTTTCACATATGGTACAAATCAAGGTATTTGAATGAAAAAATTATATTTATATTGAAGCCTATATTTTTCGCATTGATGAATGTGTAAAAAATACATAGAACAACTAGAAGGATGTCTTGTTTTTTGCACATAGCTAAAACATTAGCGAAGAGAAAAGAGCATAAAATACATTCTATAATCTATTAAAAGAAGACCAAATTTGAAAAGAGTGAAATTGAGATGTATAATGTATGGTATTATCGAAACCAAAACTCTATATAATTGTGTATTATCACTGTCAATACTGTTGTATGGACCTGGAATATATTGAGATAATATCTAGGACCAGGAGTAGGGCTTCTAGGTGTCTCACAAATAATGCTGCTCTTTTATCTTACACTTTGAAAATTTGCACCTATAACTTGAACTACAAATTCAATGCAATACACACAACTAGCCATCCTTTGCATTGAATGAAATGGATCATCAATTGCATTTCATTGCTACACTGCATAAATATATATATATATATATATATATATATATATATATATATATATATATATACATATATATATATATATATATATATATACATTAATACATATATATAATACATATATTATATATATATATATATAATATTATATTACAGATATAATATATGTAACGTATAATGGGGAATAAGCTAGGTTTTGAAAGCAAATCAACACCGCCACTCCGATCATTACTTTCATTAGGCATTACCTACAACTTGCAATGCAAATTATGCAATTCTATTTTTGAGAGATCTATATTTGGGAACTTTTGTGTTTATTACACTTCATGCACTTTTCTTATGTAAGACTCTTCACTGATGTACATCTCTTAGAAGTGCATTGCAAGTTGCAAGAAAAATTGCACGGTGTAACAGGGCCTTAAGGTGTAAATGATATTTATTGATATAGCCAATGTCTGCCCTGATAAATAAGATTTGTGCAACGATTAGAGCATATTTTATAAACACTATACGCCAGGCATATAAGCAATGTACATTAGGTATTGTATAATTTTTTGAATTCATAATGGCCTAATGCTCACTTATGCTGTTAGCCAAAAGCCAAAGCTTTTCTGAGACAACGTTTACAACTTTAAATAATGTATTTACATTACGCTTTTGTTTGTGCGATATGTATAAAATCCCTGTCGATTATCACAGGTGCATTCAGATTAATTCAGGAACGGCCGTTTAATAATAGAAAATACATAATCAACTGCAACTATTAACTCATGTCTATGTAACTTTCAAATTGATGTCAATACCTTCGTAGGGAAGTTAATCAATATCCTATTCGGCAATCCGAAAATCCGGCACTTCACTTGATGAAACGAGCCAATATCTGGTTATTTGACTTATTTCTGTTAATATTTTTGTTAATATTCTAGTTAGATAATAATTTGTAACTATTACATCAGCCCTGACTCGTCCCCAGTCGCTTTGGTGTTACGCAAACAAATAATTATAATTTTAAGACTTTTCCTAGTCACTGATCTATAAATATCACCACTGATCTATAAATGTCCAACCAGAGGAGTCAGACATCAGCCAAGGCTTTCGTTACGTCACAGCATGGTCAAAGGCCACAACTTCATTCAACTTCGAAATGGAGTCAAGACTCAGGATTTAGTAGATTTAGTCTTAATACAGAATATCTTTCTTGTACACATGCATCAAAAAAAGGATTTTGTTTTGAACCGATGAATGTAAATAAACTTATCTGTAGAAACGAGATTCTAAAATTCATCCCAAATTTAATACTTACAGAAAACAAATACTTAACAAGTCCCCACTGTTCAACAGTCTCAGCCTCTCAGTAATCAAAATATTTTGGGGCAAGTATTCAGGGAACCCTTCACAAGCAAAATCTCAATATCATTTTTGTTTTGTGCCAAATAATATAATTTCTAACTACAACCTGCAGTACTGGCTGTACTGTATATGTTACTGATCATCTAAGTCTCAAATATGCCACAGTTAGCAAATTATTATGTTGGTTAGCAAATTATTTTCAGGTTGGAAGAAACTTTACTCAAAGTAACAAAGTATTTTGTTTGAATGTCATCACAGATCCACTTTAACCTTCATGTGAGAACTGGGCCTGCTTAAGCTGCATCTTGTAGGGTTTACTAAGGCCATGCAGAAGTACGTAGGCTATCCAGGCCTGAGTAATCCAAGCTTTGGTATTTTGCCTCTCTTAATTGAGCCTCTCGCTCTCTTGCTCGCCTTGGAATCCACACTATAAAGGCATCAGAGTTTGATGGGCTTTTGTGACTGGTTTTAACACTGGTTTCAGTTTTCCAAGTGTATATACAGTATCATGCATAGCATCATGCCTACATCTATTGTGAGGTTACATGAATAAATGGGTAGAATATTAGAGCTAGGTTTGTAATAATATAATATACCTCTAATCAATAACATATATAGTCAATTACAATCACAGATGGATTTGTGGGTACCAGTCAACCATCACAAAAAATTTATATATAACACACAATTATTAATGATGCCTTGGTGATTCTTGAAGATTTTGAAGTCCAAGGTCAGTCCATTTTTCATCTTGTTCTTTCAAGGTTTCAGAGAAATTAACAGTATCTGTGTCATCACTTGGTGGTAGCTCTCTCTCAGGAATAAGAATGTCATTGTTGGGTAATTGATCTTTGCGCCACTGCTCATCAACCACGTCAATAATACAAGTTTCTCTGGTACCATAAGACAATTCACTGTCCTTCGACATATTCACTTTTATAGATTGCAGGCCTGTTCAGTCCAGTTCTTGAAAAAATTCTCACCAAAAAATTATCAATACTTTCTGAATATCAGATCAGTCTCCTGCAGTTTGACCAGATCACCCAAATCTAACAAAAAATGATCAATCTCTCCTATATTTAAGATCAGGACAGTTCAGTGTGCATGGCCTATTGTCCAAATCCAAATTTTAATGCTTAATTAATCCTGAATTATGCTAAACTATGCCAAATTAGATAAAATTATGAAAAGTTTTACTCCCACCATCAAAATAATGCCTGTGATTATGTGATTATGCTGAGTCCGGTTGCATTTGACTCCAGTTATATTTCATAAACAGGTCATCGGTTTGAGCCCACGTTCCACCCGCTTACCACAACAAATATTTCCAAATTTCAAATTGAACCAAAGGTCGAAATTCTTGAAATATCAAGACTTTTTTGGTTTCGTGTAAATCGCGATCCTTTGGGCTGATACGATGATCATACTCTATTGTAAGGAATGTTTCAGACATGATTGACGCAAGAGATGGCTTCGTCTTCTTTAACAACTCTGGTTCAAACAAAATCGATCGAACGTGTGCTTGCCCCTATTGCAAGTCAAGTGAGTGTTTAATATAATAATCGCCCAGGAATGTATACATTTTACCCTTTTTATAACTTCGCTGTTCGTGTTTTATATAAAATATTTGGGGAAAATATCCATCGAAGTTGAACATTTGGCATTTGGGTTTTCGTACTTGTTTTGTAGCACTGCATTTTTTAAATTGTACAGTGCGTACACCGTGGGCGTGGAATCGTGGATGGAACTTTGAAAATTCCAGGCTAGGCCGGAGCAATATGGCATGTTTACATGATATGGGAAAAAGTTGGACCAGAATGAAAATTGAAATTTTCAAAACATTTGAATAAAACAAGCACATACCGTATAACATATCCCGACAGACGCTGATGAACTGCTGGCTGTTCCAATGTCTATGCAGCCCAGTCAACTCTGCATGTGTTTAATTGTTTAGCATTTCGAATTAGTCTGAAATATGTTTTGTATTTACATTAATCCAGATTCAATACATCTTTGTCTCGAAACCCAGTCAGTTCAGCAAGTAGTTATGACTTTATTAAATGAGACTGATATATGGTTAATGTTTTTATCCTGTTTTCATATGAAAGTATTATTATTATATATACATTATAGTAAGACCAAAACAGACTGGTATCAGTTTGTTTTTATCCCCATAAACATAGCCAAAATAGCCACACAGCAGATTTACTAGCTACAATAGGCAAAGCAGTCAATGCCATTGCCTGGCTTTAAAGCTGGCAAACAATATGTGCAAATATATTGGCATTGACTTTAATTGTTTTCACTCAAGTTTCCCAACCTTTTAGGCCTAAGAATCATTCTATGATAATACACTACATATGTATGCAAAGTCACATGGACATTGACAAACCACATGTTTATATATTTATACATGTACCCAAACATCAACCCTATGTCAAATACCAGAAATGACCATTTAATTACTTAATTCATTCAAGTAAAATAAACTTTAATTATCGGTAAGGATTTTGTTTCTCATACCCTAATTCCTTTTAGGTGTCCAATTTGATCATACTAAATGAAGCTGGTGTCCAGGACCAACATGCCTTTCCTGACCTTGTCTCATCTGCTGAACATATTTTTCAAACTGTTCAAACACTAACCAACATTGGATATAATCTTGCTCATGAGAGCTCTGATGAGGTGAGGTTTGCCTCTTGAACTAATATTAGAATTTGAAATATAAGGTTTGTTCATGAATGCAATTTTTCCCGTATTTTTGTCCTCAAGGCAAAATGAAACACATTTTGTAAGAAACAATGTTACTGCATAGTTATTAATTTTCCAAATGAGCAACTTGCTCCACTGAGCTTTATTACATTACTAAATGACCAGATCTGAGCTTTAAGTACTAATATTAGGACAACCACCACTGGGTTTTGCTGTATTAGTTAATGGCATACACCACTAATTACTGATCCAATGACCTACATAGGTAAAATATTACAATATCTTTTAAGTCTGTTCACAAGCTTGCGACAAGATTTGTTCACACTACTTGTCCCCAGACACAGCCTAGTCCCAGGCCTTGTAAGGGTGCACTGTTAATTATGCAGGGGCAGCCCATGCTGAGAGGCACAAAATGTTGAGTTTTCAAAAATTGTCCCTGATGCAAATATTTTGAGATCAGTATTGCTTGAGAAAAATTTTCTTGCCACCATTTTGAATTAAGATGTAAAAACATTTTGTGCTAGTCCTCTCCTGCATGTTCAAACCGTTGACGTCACAAGAATGCAAGGCACGCTAAGGAGGACTAGGGACTATAGTCTGCCCAGACAACTTGAATCAAAATACCGGTTACAAGGCTGTTTCAACAAGTCTGGTACAAACATGATTTAACAATATTGCTACAAACTAAGTGCTGCCAAATTTGTAGCGAGGTTGTTATATCACAATTGTATTAAACTGGTCATGAGGAATTTAGTCAGCGATACTTACCAAATCTGAGCTGAATAATTGTTTTAGTATAAATACAAAGGTGATTTTTGAAAAAACAAATCTGTTGCAGAAAATGCATGTTTTACAAACCTAAACAAATATCTCAACACTTTTTACTGCAATTCAAACTCGCCACCATTTTGAAACATCAGTTTAGGTGATTATCCGATAATAACTTGAGGTTGATCGACCGATCAGATGCCGGATTTCAATAATCACCTTTGTAATTTTATTTTTTGTTTCCTATTTTTTTTTGACCGCATACATAACATTAACATGACTGTTCTGACTGTTCTCCCCTATTCTGATTCACTTTCATACTACTTTAACTCTCCTGACGAAGGCCTTTTGGTTGAAACGTTGAAAAGTGTTTTTGCCTATTGTAATTATACTACTGCATGGCTACTGAATAACCTACACCACTGGGCTTTACCACAGAGTAAATGATAGAAACTCCCTAATAGATGACCTACACCACTGAGCTTTGTGTTACTGAATGAACTATACAGTCTATACCACTGAGCTTTGTGTTACTGAATGAACTATACCACTGAGCTTTGTGTTACTGAATGAACTATACCACTGAGCTTTGTGTTACTGAATTAACTATACCACTGAGCTTTGTTTTACTGAATGAACTATACCACTGAGCTTTGTGTTACTGAATGAACTATACTACTGAGGCTGAGCTTTGCCACAATTACTTGATGACCTACCCCACTGAGCTTTCTTATGTTACTGAACTGAAGTGAATGACCTACACGACTGAGCTATACTGTATCACTGGATGACTTGCTTTACTGATCTTTGCAATATTACTGGAGACCTGGTCATATGTTAAATTTCATGATGACCTTGTTCTCTGAAATATGTTACTTTTTATACCTGCATGTTTTAATTATAATAATGTAAGAGTAATTCTAATATTTTTTTTCAGCAATTGAGTTTGGATATGCCTGGTGCTTGCACACAAGTTCTTGAAGCAGGAAACAGTCTATTAACAGCAGCACAACAATTACGCGTTGACCCTCACAATCGTTCCGTGAGATTAATTTTGGTGGAATCCGCAAAAAAGGTTCTTGAATACACCGTAAATGTAAGTGAACAACTGATCAATAGAGAAGTTAAGGTACCCAGTTCCGAAATACGGAGAATTTCGTTGCCTTATTTTGTTCAATAAATTCCTTCTTGTTTACATGCATGTTTTTTGAAATCATGCTTCCTCAAAAGGCAAATGCCGGAAAAGGCTTATCCAAGTAAATCCTAAAAAACAAACATCGATGGAATGCAGTGAACAAAAAAATAGCAGCACCCGGCACCGTCGGAGACTGAGGTACCTTAAGAAAAGTCTGATCAAACACAATCTGACAATATTGGTACAATCTTGTGTTGCCAAGTTTGTAGCAAGTTTTTGTACGTATCATAACTGTATCAAACTCTCTAATATTCTCTTAGACTTTGGCGCTGTTTATGTAATGTAGGTCGAGCTGAGCCGAGATTTAATTAATCGTGAGATGACTTTGAGATATTGAAACGAGTACCATATGTATATAACATGACCTTGACAGCGGTGCAGTTTTCATAACGATAGCGTGATGTGCTTGTTTAGTTTTATAAATACTTATTTCAATACCTCAAAATCATCTCACACTTTGTTGAATCTCGGGTAACCGGGGTCATGGGAACAGCCTTAGTGCAAGATGTAAATCCTGACTCGGAAGCAATTTATGCTAGGGACGAATTATCCGTATAAACAAAAGACAAACTATGCACACGAAAATAACAGACGAAATAAAATCGCCTGCTTTGAAACAGGACGGGAATTGGTAACGAATGTGCATGGCAAGGAAATCCAATGACGACAAAAATGTAATTAGTGAAGCATTTATCTTGTAAAAAAATTAAGGCTCTGATCTTCACACTATACGGGATTTGCTTGTCACGATATCTTCGTTTGCCTTTAAAGGGCAACGTTTAAATGCTTATTAGTTTGATCGATTTGTTTTATTTATTTCGAAATGTGACAATATATTTTTTTAATACCCTTTAATAGCTACAAAATTTGACCCACTCCTGAAGCAATCCGTTATAGTGTAAACCGGGCCTAAATGAGGAAAAATTATTGATGGGCACAAGCGTGAAGCGTCGCTCTATGACGAAATTTTCCGTAGCTTTTCGCCATCATACTTGCAGACGGATAATGCGTCTAAGTGTACTACTATACCCATTCAAATTCGTCTAAATGGAGGAACTATGCGGATAATTCGTGTTGACGGATGATCCGTCTGTTTGAACGTGTTTACACATAGACGAACTAGAAGACGACGTATCTTTTGCTTGCCCAAGTTCGTCCAGACGGGACATCCGTCTCTAGTATAAATCCGGTCAATGTTTTCAAAATGTCATTTTGTGCATGTGGAAAGAAATTTTCTTTCAACAGATTTTTCGTTTCAAAGAACTCTCAATATTTTAGCAAATGTTCAAATGAAATACAGCTGGGAATCGTAATTAGAATTATAGAAGGATGTACTTTGTACATTGTTTGAAGAAAGATGTCCTTCAAATTTAGGTTCTTCTGACATCTGATGACGCCGAAGTACGAAAGATTATTCACAAGACAAACGTGGTTCTACAAAAATTGTGGATTTTAGAAAATATCCAGTCTTGGTCAGAGTTCAGAAATCACTTCCAGGTATAGATCATTTCCTATATTTGTACAGCGAGCATGTTCATAAAACAACGATTCATAATTTTTAAATGTTTTGGCGGGAAAGGAAAGGTAGTTTCTACCTTCGGTAGTTGGTACCTAAATCAATTTAAATTTCCTGACCCATTTGTAGTTCGCTAGACCCAGTATCTCGCTTGATTGAGAAACGATACATAACCTTCCTGATGTTCTATTCTATCCCGCTATGCTAATCTGTTTTTTGACCTTACAAAAGGCGTACTTTTCTATATATAATATTATCAATTTTTCGTACAAGATACCAAATGGTTGTATATTCTAATACGTGTTTCTATTTTCTTTATTAGATATTCAGTGATAGTGTGTCTCAGTTGCTGATGTTGTGTCAAAAGAGACAAAACGTGAGTGAAATTTTTTTCGTATGTTATGTTTATGATGTGGTGTTGCACAAAAGTGTATTATTCTCAGTTTCCTGTATTTTGATCACCCCAAATCACTCAAATTTACTATAATTTTCTTAGGAGCTTGTGAGCCCAGCTAAGCAAGATGTAATTGCTTCATCAACGGCTCTTCTAGCGAACGCTACGTCAACGTTATTGCCTACAAGTCACGAATACATGCAGAATCCTGATAAACAGGCAGTGAAAGTACGTACATATGCAGAAAATATATTCTATCATTTACGCTAAATGTTGTTTTTGCGTTTTGAACTTGCCAGTTCCGCTACTATTAACAAATATGTTATGGTCTCGTGGTTCTGTGCTTGCAATTTGCACCACCTTGAAAATATTCAAGCGACAATATTTATTTTGTTTCTTAACGTTGCCAGTCACAAACAGCTGTGCGAGCAAAAATCCGGAGTTTTTTAAAATCGGTATCAATTCAATGATATCCTGGGATAGATTTACTGTGGGGAAGAGGTTACGCACCCCCCACCTTAAACCTGAAGAGAGTCAGACGGTGGGACGAAGATCTGCTTTTCCCCCCACCCATATCCAGCCCTTTTCCCTCCTCCCAACAAAACCGCCCCAGATCCATCCCTGTAAAAAATCGCTGGTTAGAAATCCGTTCCTTTACGATTTTCTTTATTTGCAGGCACGTCGAGATTACATCTTCAGGCAAATATATATGGCATGTTCTCAAATCATTCGGACGGTTGAGACGAAGGGCGTAACGGATAATCTCGAAGAACCAACACATCTCGTATCAACGAACAACGCACCACAGTCAGAAGTATGTATTTACTGAAAATTATTTGCTGCATGGGCGTACCAAAAAATGGACGAATTTGAAATCGTTCTCAGCTTTATAAAGCAGTTCTGGGCCCGAGTTATTCCAATACAGACTCTAGGCTTTAGGTGCTTTTAATTCTGAAAGACAAATTTTCTAAACCCAGTAGGGTTTTGTAAAGTGTGAGGTGAACGTTTGTCAATCACCGGTCGTGGGGTGGGGGATACAGACACGAACTGTAGTCTGTAAGGGATACATAATACCCGGAAAGCTGAAATGATAAGCAGATTCGCACCCTTCTTTCCCCTCTCAAAGTTGAGCTAATCTGGTGAACACCCGAATCCATATGCAATCAATTTTTACCTTGATTTTAAATTACTTTGTACACGAAATTTTAATCGTTCGGAAACTTTAATCTTTGCCTGTGATTTTTCGAAAGATATTAACCCTTGTTCACTTGGAAAATTGCTCTTAACGCAATTTAGGGCAACCTGAGTATGTATAGGTATATAAGAAGGGCCGAGATTAGAACCTTGTGTTATTCCACCTTAAGTTGAACTTCTCTTGCTTTTGATAATTTTAACCTGTTTTAAAGTTACTGTAGTATATCAATGACAACAGCAATTGGCATATGTGTCTTCCTAAACATTCGATTCAGTTTTCTATCTGTATTTTTTGTTTAGAAACCGTTGGAGCCCGCCTCTGTCAGTCATATGCCAACTTCAGGCAGCGACTTAGATTATTATCTTGACGCTATTGTACGAAACAGTTTAGCCGTCGCCGAGAAATGTGAAAATCAAAAGAGAAAGCTAAGAATCGCCAAAGCTTGTCATGAGGTAATAAAAACGTGAAAGCAACTCAAAACACCTTATTATTACCAAGAACTTTGGCCAAGCTGGAACAGAGCTTAAAAAGCTAATTGCCTAATTGTGTCAATATTAATGAGAGAGATGACTCATAGATGTGTGCGATGGTGAATTTTCTAGGTGCTGGAAACTCGAGGGCAACTGAACGAGGCACAGGACGCGCTTGCATCCAATCCAATGTCTGAACGATACAGGTAGCTATTATAATTTCGACCTTTTAAGCTAGGCAGTGCTCAAATTCCTGTTTTATTCAACAAAGCCATAACTCATAGCGACATGTCGATGTCAAATGCCCCTTTGCAGAAAGAAAAATCTCATGTTGTTCACTTTGTTAAGGTGGTCTAGTATATAGAAAATCATGATTTATCTTGAAAGACCACCTTAACGAACCATGCAAGTGGTATTTAAATCGATTTAGAACTTATCATTTAATATTTTAGGCAGGAATTTGACTTCCAAACAGACAAACTGCAACAATGTCTACGTTCTTTGGACCGGCGTGTCACTATGGCAATAATTGCTGCTGTTTTAACAGCGTTTTCTGATCTGGACACTCCACTGCAGAACCTGATTACTGCTGCAACAACGGTACGGTGGCTGTATTTACATATCTAATGAACCATGCAGTTATAATATAACCAAGGAGAAGCGTGGCAACGTCTTCGAACAACTTAGCATCAAATGTGGTATAACAACTGCCTAAATAGACAAAACACTTCTCGACGTTTCGACCTGAGGGCCTTCGTCAAGAGAGTTAGTATCTCCTGACGAAGGCCCTCAGGTCGAAACGTCGAGAAGTGTTTTGTCTATTTAGGCAGTTGTTATACCACATTTGATGCCACGCAGTTATATATTAAAATATATTTCGACAACCTTTTTGAGTCCTGATTGGCTAAAATTTGAGCGCGAAAACCTGGTTGCCTGTCATATGCTATTCCATATAGTCTATAGCTAAAACTCAATTATCAGTCGGCACAAAACATTAAAAACATAACTTTGAAGATAAATACAGTACCAGAAGTAGAGTTTGACTGCTCATATTTTCCCCATAGTACGATTATAGTTAACTTGTTTTATTGTTTATTTTTAGAATGATCGTTTGTTGAACTATAGTCAATCGATGAACCGCCTCATGCAATGTCAACAAACGTTTCTGAATTACTCTGCTAAAATATGTCAAGCCGCGAGTAATGCATCTTCTGTCGCAGCCGAACCAGACCGTAAGAATAAATCAACAATAACATTTGTCTCTGTATTAGTTAACAAATTGATTGCATCTAGCCATTGTCTATTGGTGGTAATTTTAATGCAATATGAATATAGCTAGTTTACCGTAAGCTTTAGGGCGCATTATAGACATTTCATTTCTCAGGTCATGCAACTGTATCACGTGTTTCCCACAACGCACTGGAATTAATCGTGTGTAGCCCAACTCGAATATTGAAGTTAAATGATCCGTGAACCGCTGAAATACTTAAAAATAACACTGTCTGTTGTTTCCATATTTTCTGACGCTTTTTAAACAGTTTGCCAAGCAAAGGCATAACGCAAACATGAAATTGTCCGTGGAATTCAAATAGATGAGTTGCTGACCTGTGTATATTTGTATATTAGTTCATCTGGACTGAGTGCCAAGATAAAAATTAACGCCAAAATTGTCAACGGCTTGCCAATCACTATCATTCGGTTATTTTACTGATAAAAACATTTTTATGCAATTCTTCGCCAACAAAAAGTTTTCATAAGCGGTTCTATGAGACCTATATTCGTCATTTTTCGTGTGTCACCTCATTTAAACCTTAAGCACTCACTCCAGATGAACAATATATTGATATAAACCGGTCAGTGAGTAAGTAATTCAGACCACAAGTAGGCAACTTTGTGACTAAATCATAAATAAATCTCAATTTTAGGTGTTCATGCAATCCGTTCTACGATTGGTCAAATCGAGGCCCTAACGCCGAGGATAATCAGCACATCGAACGAAATTCGTCAGCAGCCTCAAAACAGCAAGCACTTGCAGTATTTGAAAACCATTCAACAGGAATGGCAGACACAAGTGGGCGTGTTGTCAGACCTTTCTGTCGATGCTGTAAGTCCCGGAGATTTTCTCGGCACAACAGAAGCCTTGGCAAATGAAAGTTTGACGCGATGCAGGGAAGCCTTAGCGGAGTACAACTTTCAAAAGTTGTCTGGTGAAATATCGCTGTTGGTTGGTATTTCCGAGAGGGCTGTTCATGTTTGCAAAACTGAATTACAGCGGGCCGCTGATCCTCTGTTTAAAAGTCGATTGACTGAAGTGACCTCTCGTATGAGTTCAGGTAGCTATAACGCCGTCATGGGTATTGATTGGGTCTTGCACTAAGGCTAATCGCAGAGTTCCAGCTTACCCTTTGAGCCAGCATTTCTAGCTATAAAAGGTCATTCGCCAGAATTATGTGATGCCATTTTACTTGATATATTCATGTTGTTTCATATTTAATGTATCAGTATCCCATGTTCAGTTTTCTCAGTATATCTCAGTTAATATTCATGTAACTAGCCTTTTTCACGATGACGAAGATGTACCGCCATTTTGGTACACAGCGTAACGTCGACTGTTTTCAGTTTTTGTCTAATTTATTGTTAAACCCGCTTTTAAAAGAAACTTGAAATTTCTCCCGAAATGGTGGATATCAGTGATCCTGAGAAAGGCTAATTTGCTGGTCATCTGGCTAGAGCTGTCGAATTTAAATTAGATTAAACGAGATCTCCTACTTTAATATAAAACCCTTTCTAAAATGAAGGATGTTATATATTGTTGCCTTCATGTTTTAATTTAAACTCTGTTTAATCTAAACCATAGCTATCCCCCTTTATACCTTTATATCTTTAGTTTTTCCAGAGCTGGCTTCCTTATCACGCGAGGTGATCTGCCACATTCAAGATTCACGAAATCATGTAAAGTTCATGGAACAAGTCATGAAACTCGTTGAAAGTTTAGGCGAAATGAGATCAATTGTTAGAAGATCACCAGTCCACCTTAAAGGTAGAGTGAAATACTCATTGTTTAAGGTTCTAGGGTTTGGTGGGCTTCTTGTACTTGTTACAGGATACATGTTTTCATACAGTCCATACTACTTCTTTTGCCCAGCTTTAAGTAAGCCGATATTTTATTGTAAACGGAGCAAAATGCGGAATATATTTAGGAACGTCGACGTGTTTAAAGAACATGCTATGCTCTCTGAATGCATAGGTTTGCGTTTAGCTTTATGATTTATACTCCAATTAAGATTTTTTCCCTTTAAAATCGATGCTACCCTTCGTGCGAAAAACATGAGGGAGGCCTTTTTAGACAATATAAAAGTGATCGATTTCTGGAATTTCGCTAATAACATGTGTGAGTATTTAAGGGGCTGTTTACATGAGCCCGGGTTTCCGAGATTCAACGAAGCATGAGATGATTTTGAGGTTTTGAAATAAGCACATGACATGATCCTGACAGTCGTATAATCATCACAACACTAGCATGTACTTGTTTGGTGTCATAAAAACTTATTTCAATACCTCAAAGTCCTCTCACGCTTCGTAACCGGGCTCATGTAAACAGCACCTAAGTTTATTTCGCTGGGTATGGTAAAAAACGCGGGTGCGGATAGACTCTTGCGGATGATGATAGAAAACGCGCTGTAGGCATGTTCTATGAATATAATCTAATACCATCTGAGAGCTTTCCCGTTACAAATTTTATTGTTATCACTACTATTGTGAAATAAGTTACATGCATGCATGCATGGAATATTTCTCCCTAGACAACAGTTTTGAAGACAGTGATTCCAATCCACCAGTACCACCCATGATAAATGTGACCAGCAATACAGCAGCAGGTGATTCTTCTGGATTTTGTTTTTATTATTATTATGAGCCATGGTCTTGGAACCGCGGAAATTCTTGGAAAAAAGACTGTCTGGTTTTCATTAAGTCGTAATTGTCATGAGCATGTCTGGGTGGCGGATGTGATAGAATATTTCTATGTGTGCATGCTTGTGCAGCAGTCAACAATGACTGATTTCAACACAGAAAAAAGACAAATTTACAACAGGACTTGATTTTCGCATCGGTGAAAATGATTTCATCACAATTACGACTGAATAGAAGAAGTTAGGCTTTAGGCTTGGCTCTTATTATACTGTTTAAACGTAACTCAAAATTTGCTAACACTTTCTTGTATACTAGTGCATGAGTTCATTTTAAAGAAGATTTTTTTCATTGGGTTCAGTTTCAGGTTTTCCGAGCAATGAATTGCCAAGCATGCGTCTCCCTCCAGCGATTCACGGGGAAAGCAGTTCAGCTGGAAGAAACAGTCCCGTTGCAAAAAGCAGTCCAGTTGGAAGAAACAGCCCAGTTGGAAAAAACAATCCAGTTGGAAAAATCAGTCCAATAGGAAGAAACAGCCCAGCGGTTGTGGTAAGCATGGTTGGATTTTTCTCGATTCTAATTTCAATACCTTTGAAAAATCGGGGACATTTTTAGATATGACTACAAACACTACACTTTTTTGCTGGGCAATCTCGTGATTCGAAAAGTAACAAATTTTGTACTTTTCGGAAATTCGGGTGGCTTTTGAGGTAACGCTAACGCTCTTTTTATACTCTTCTTCAGATGAACAGCCCAGATTCAAACATTCTTTCGGTGAACCAAACTTCCGCAGGACCGATCAGAAATCGCAACTCCAAAGACATCGAAAATTATGTTCAAGAAACGAGACAGTGTTTATTGTTAGGTAAAACACATTTCTTACATATATCATAGCCTATTCTACAAATTAGACATGGCTCACTTCCTACCAACGTAAAGAGCAAAATTAACCCGATGGAGAATCACAATTTAAAGCCATTGCCACAATCTTATTCTACCATACGCATCATCAAAGTCCCGGAAAAATTACATACGTACATGAGTACATGATTTTATACATGATTTTATACATGATTTTTTTGGTCGAATTCTTCCATTTCTGTAGTTAAAATTACCTAGCCTTTTATAGCTCCAAGATTACGTATTTGTCAATAGAACTACAGGGTGTCTAAAAAAAAACGCAACAACTTAAATATGCAAGAACATTAATACAGCTCTAAAGTGCACCTCTGGAAAATGGCTCTTAATCCTTCATTTAAAATGCCAAAAGTCATTTTAGCTGAACTATGGTGCAAACCCGAACAATATTAATATTCTTGCATATTTAAGTGGTTGCGTTTTTTTTTAGACACGCTGTAGAATTGCTTAAATCAATAATTCTACAACCAAAAAACCGTAGATTTAAGCCTTTGTTTGCGTGATGTGCGTAATTATCTCTTTCTTTTCCACACAGATTAAAAAATATCTATTTTTTTCAGGTTTAACTCTTGTCGAAGCGGACGACATTCAAATGCTCGGGAAGCTCTCGGCTTTACTTCGTGCCTCGCCGTCGTCGCTGATGTCTCGGTTGCTTGACGCAGTCTCTCAGTCCGACTACGCTCTCGTTGAACGGCGATGTAACGAGCTTTCAAGACGTGCTGCAAGTTTGAAAGATTTTATCCAAGAGCCAGCATTGAAACGCTCCAAGAACAAAGAAGCGTCGAGGTAAATAAAGCAGGCACTTAAAGTAACATATTAACTGATTTTAAATGAGCTCGATTAAAGTGTTTCTATTTTTTTTTTCAAGTGAAGGTGTAATAATAGTTCGTTTTATCAACTAAAAGGCTGAACTGACGTTGAATTGATAGAATTTCGTTGATTACTATTAACTCCTGGAAAACAAAGCTGAAGTACTCAGACAAAATATGACAAATTCGTATAGTACTCGATTCATTGTTAACATGACATTAAGGCTGGTTTTCATATGACATATTTCATATTGAAATAATTTCATAATTCGTCCTAATTCAGATGGGTTTTTGAATACAGGTGTGGGTCCTGAAGCCCTTTAACCTACGGAAACCTTTTTCTTTAATTTTTTGACAGTCTTGTTCTCACAACATCCTCGGAAGTGTACGAAAGTACCGCAGATGTCGTTCAACTGGCGTGGACGGTCGCTGCCAACCCGAACGACACGAAAGCCAACAACCAACTTCGGGTCAAGTGTGATAAATGGAGCGAGAAACTGGACATTGTTCGGGCAACGGTTGACAAACTCGTCAATCCTTGGTCTGTGTCTGCTTCGTGTGTCGTGCAAGCTGCAACCTTGAAAGATCAAAAACTTTACACCAAACAGGTAAACAACTATATCTGAGATTTAAAAGTTACTGCGTAGCCACGATCTTGAAAATGGGTCTTGTCCAGGAGCCGTGTTTTCATGTTATGCTTTATTTCAACGTAGTTCAAAATGAAAAAAATTCATGCATGTGTCAATGAAGGAAGTTTAGCAGCTTAGCACATAGGCTAGGTCGTAAGACTATGAGGTGCCGTTACCGCCAAAATTCAAACATATTATTTTATAAAATGCAGGGTTGAATTTTCTTAAAATGAAGGGTCGAATTTTCTTAAAATGAAGGGTCGAATTTTTTTAAAATCCCGGGTCGAATTTTTTAAAATGCAGTATATAAATTATAATATAATTTTAAATTATACGCTCCATTTTATAAATTCGACCCTGCATTTTATAAAATAACGTGTCTGAATTTTGGCGGTGACGGCATCCCATGCATATAAGACCACAACTTGAAATCCATTCTTTTTAGATTTCCAACCTGAAACAGCACGTCCTACGGCTGCGTGGGCTGGCATCGTGCGCCAAGGCTGCCGCCGATGCTGAGGATGCGGTTGATGTCAGTGGCGAAGGTGAGGCTCCTGCGAGGAATCAAGATTCTTTGAGAAGGATCGAGTTGGTTATGGTCACATCAGCTGAGATGGATGAATTGACGAAACGATTTATCACTGTTTCTCAGGTATGTACTCGTCCACTGCATTTTGCAACACTGTAACGCGACTTTAAGTGACAACATGCTGAATTTGAAGACGATTACTTTGGAAGGCCGGCAGCTGTATGGTTTGAATCTCCCACGCTTCGAATTCATCTCGACGGGAAATGTAGTTTGTCGCAAAATTAATCTAGAAATTAGGCAACTTGAATAACTGAGCCATAGGCGCGAATATTAGTTTTATTGGCTGTTTACATGATCCACTTAGACGAGATTCAACGAAGCGTGATATGACTCGAAACAAGTCTCTAGCGACTTAAGATACACGAAATCTACGAAGCGAACGTGACGTAATACTGCCGTCGTTTCCACAATTTGACAGGAATAAAAATTATGGACTCCTTTTGGTATAGAAGTTCAGAGCTGTATGTAAAACTAATTAAAATTGGGTTCCTAACAATACCGGCTGATTTCATGTCACGTTCGCGTCGTACATTTGGTGTATCTTAAGGTTCCTTTTATGAAACCAAACAAGCACATGCTTTTGTAAGGATGACTACACGACTACCAGGATCATTTTATAAGCTCTTCTTAATACCATGTCACGCATCGTTGGATCTCGGCTAAGCGGGGTGATATAAACAAGCGCTAAGAAAACCTTATCTGTAATGTTAACAAAACATCTGCATGTTTGCATTACGGACTAATACACATCTTTCATGAAATTTGATATTTTAGGAAATGTTTAAAAACCGTGACAAGATAACGGACGTCGTTACCTTGGAGTTTCTTCGCCGTGATTGGGCGTGCAAAGTTCTGTCTCTGATTCTTGCTGTTGACGATATCACGGCAGGGACCTCGGCACCAGTTGATGGTATCTGCACGGCAGCTTTGCATGGCGACCATCAGGTGGTTAGGGATCGATGCAAGTTGTTGAATACCTATATTGTGACTTTGAAGGAAATGGCTGATGGTTGTTCTGCCGAGTAAGTACTGTGTACCATGTTTTACTATTATTGAAATTAATCTTACTTTTAATTTCAATCCTAGACCTAATCCTGGATATAATCCTTGCAGTCGCCCTATTGCTAACTTTAATCCTAACAAGGACCCCAATCTAAACCCCAATCCGAACCGTTAGTCCTGAAACTGGAAAGTAACAAAATAAGCTTGTTCTAGTTGTAAATAGAGTTCACTAGAAAGTCTTAATGTGAAGTTATACATGCATAATTGACTTGAGCCCTTTTCTGCCAGTTGTAGAGACAAAGAAAAGGCGGACAAAGCTCAGGAAACTGTTCTGTTCGTTGATGAGTTAACCCAGAAGTTCCAAAATGCTGTTTTGATTGTACAAGAGAAAGTACGTGCCGATGCGGGAACAATTGAAGAAAGCCTTCATTTTATGTCTTGTGTAGAGAAAATGGTTTTATTGCAACGAGAGTGGTCTACAAAGGTTTGTATATACATGAGTATGCCTTGCCTAATTGCCGCTACAATGTTAGCTAAATTGCGATTTAATTTATCTAACCCGCTACCCTATGCGTTTCAGAAAATAAGTGAAATATGTATTTTCCTACTCTACTCTATAAAATACTCATGGATCACTTTTCTGAAAAAGCGATTGAAAAATTTATGTTTTTAAAAAGTTTTTGTTTATCTTCTTCAAAGTTTCTGTTCTGTAAAACCGATTTAAGACGCTAGAAGCAAATTTGAGTGAATTAAGAGCGAGATATATTTTATTATCCAAAACAATGATATTTTTGAGAACTTAGCGAAAAAAATGAGGACTGTTCAGCGTTCTCCCTTACGAACATCTCCCTAAGTCAGTAATATATATTTATCATGATTTTCAGGTGCACCTATTCACCTCACTAATTGACGACATGACCGCTGATGTATCGGCCCACGTTGATCGCCTCGCCGGCGCGGCGTTGAATGTGAGCCGTGTTGACCGCAGTATGAAGCTGGAGTACTTACGTGATTTTGAAGCACAATCGAACAAACTCTCCTCAAAAGTTGCCCGAGTGAGAAATCACGCCTGCTTAACAATCAGTAATAGTAACAACATTCAAAAAGCTCAAGTGGTTCGGGTTACCTGTGACTTCCTCGATCGTCTTACACCGCAAGTTATTGCCGCAGCTAGGGGACTGGCTGGTAGGTATATCCGTTGTTTTACATTATGGTTACGATAACCTCGAGGGCATTATAGAGACGTTTGCTAAATATTGTTTGGTGTCAGTCAGTGAGCACTATGTGAACTCCGACGATAACTCCGCCGCCATCTTTGAAGCCAATTTGAAGCCGAAATGGGTACCGGCTCCAGTCCCTTTCATGTTCCTGTCGACAATCGCGCTGACAAAAACAGAAGAAAGGGACTGGCACTGGTACATTTCGGCTGAATATTGGTTTCAAAGATGGGGTCCAAATAACCATAAGTTATCGTTCCAGGGCCGGTTGTATCAAGCCCGTTTAGCTTAAACGGTGGTTAAGTTCAAAATACAAGCCAGTCTATCGTCTTATTCAACAAGATACTGTTTACAACTACATATTCAATGCATAATATTCAAGTTGACTCATTCAAGAGAGATGTAAGAGTGTTATTTAATTTTGACTTATCCACCGTTTAAGCTAAACGAGCTTGATACAACCGGCCCCAGGTCTAGCTGGAAACTAGGTAAACTTCAAAATGTGTATACATAATGCATACACGGAAAGGAATAAAACAGATACTTCAGTCCATAACTCCATTAACGACTGGTGATGGTAGTGCTGGTAGTGTCATTGTCAAACTCTACATGAAGCACGACCGAAATAAGCTTATATATATTTACTTTGAGAACACCATACTACACCGGTTATTTGATTCATTTTTCACCGAATTCTAGACAATCCTGACCAACCGACTGTGGAGCATTTTCAAATGTTGAGAAGGCAGTGGGCATCCAGAGCTCATTTCCTCATGGCAACTTTACAGAGTTTAAGGAATGTCCAAGACTCATCTGTTGAAGGTACGGAAGTTAAAACAGGTGATTTGTTGATAACAAAACTGCATGTCATCGCGCCTCAAACGATAAATCAGTTCAGAAAACAATTTCAATAATGTTTCTTTTGTCACTTTAATTTAGGGAGGACTGGCCTCCTTTAGACACGTTTTCTTCTTTGCTTGCTTTTTCTCTCAGCAAAATTAGATTTCACTGGAAGGGAAAGATAGCGACATGTCGATATTAACGCGTCCTTTCTCAGAAATAAAATCACATTGCAATTGTATAATTTCTGCCCAAGTCATTTCTTTAAGCTGTTATACAAGCTGCAGTGGTATTGACTTCGGCAGAAAGGTCAGCAGGCTGACGATGTGCGATGATGTAATAAAATTCAAGAGACATAATTTCACGTTTAGTTGTCACGAAAGAGCTCCTTGGTTCTCTGGATAACTCAGATCAGGGTAGCCCTCCCATACTGCAATCCACCAGTCACACTCTGAGAGATTCCTCAATACACTATCATCCCCCGCCATCCGAGAGATCCTCCGGGCCCCCTCATGTTCACCAGTCACCTTCTGAAAGATCATATCTTCACCCAGGCGTTCACCCTATTACCCCTAAAATGAAGTCATCCTATGAGGAGGACTACAAAGGTGCCGAGTCCTTAGACCGAGCTTTTGAAAGGCCTGGGAGAGAGAGGGTTGACGATCTTGAGGCATCGTTTGACTTAATCGATGGTTTAGTGACGTCACTTGGTGATTTGGCCATGCGCAGTCAGGTATGATTTTTATCACCTTGATTTATTTCTTGCATTCATGAAAGAAAATGTTGCACCAAATCACTCGTGATAATTTATATGCCATTTCATCTTTGTTCAACCGTAGAACGAGGAAAATCTCACGTGTAAACGGGCCAAATTATTTACTTTTACTCAGGCTCGTTTACACTTGCGATTTATGCTGCGATTTTATGTTGTGATTTTCCTCTTTTGACAGATGTGAAGGAGTAATTAGTTACGAATGCTCTGATGTATAATATACACTTAATGTATGCTCCCGAGGGAAATAGTGAGTTTTGTTTTCCCAAGAGTCTGAATGTTTCTCGAGACGAAGTCGAGGGAAACATTGAGACTCGAAAAAACTATTTCCCGAGGTGTAGCGAACATTGAGTGTATATAGGAACAATAACATACATGTTTCACGACAGTTTCATCTCAAAAAACTTTGTGATGACAATATGCGGGGCAACAATTTTTCACTTGTTTCCCTGGCGGGAAACATTGCATTTATTTAAAGTCATGTGACTACGAATGAACCAATCACATTTAAAATACACCGAACCTATATAACAAGAGCTCTCATTTGAACATCGGTAATTCATTCACTCCTTCACATCTATCAAAAGAAGAAAGTCGCACGTAAAATTCGCAGCAAAAATTGCAAGCGTAAACGTGCCTGTAAACCTGCAATCTGTCTTCCCCGTTTTTTAGTCCAATTCAAGATATCAAAATCACGCTGGTCACTCCAGCTGTAAGCAGTCAACGCCAAGCCGACACAACTATTCGAGATTCAAACAAGCAAATGATCATGTTGCATTCAAGGATGCTGCTGGCAGCAAACTTTCCAGTTCCCGCGATTCACTGCCGCGTATAGCCTCCACCGAATCCTTGGATGACAATGACTTGCGACGACAAACCTACAGTCCAGCGGTTATCAGGAGGACTGTAAGTTTTGATGGTTTAAACCGATCGTGGAGACATGGCAGTGAGGAAGATATAAGGAGCAAGAAGGCATTTGTTTCTATTTTTGTGAGTAGCCTTCTTCCATTGGAACGTTCATATGTAATTTCGACAGCTGGGGTACGATTATTTTAAAAGGAAGTGTAGTTGTTTTTGTTTTGGCCTGACTGGCTGTATTTCGAAAGGAAGATCCTACGATTTTCCACCAAATAGAAATCCGGTTTCATGTCCGACAGTCAAGAACAAGGAGGAAATTCGTTCTAGACCAATAAGCAAATTTGTTTACATTTCGTTTACACAGTCGGAATGCATAAATGTTGAATACTTTCGAGCTAAAGGTACATCATTTACCATTTTACATGAAGTATAAAAGATTTATGCACTCTGATTGTCCCAGAAACGTAAACAAATTTGCCGATTTGTTCGGCCGAACCTGAGACAAACTGGTCACTTCTTGCAGAGAGCAGCAGCGCAGTTACGTGACGAGGCTGATAAGTGGGAAGACGAGAACAACGACTTCGTTCGTGTGGCAAAATCGCTGTCCCATCACATGTTTACCTTGGCCGAAATGGCGAAAAAACGAAGCAGACTGAAGGTAAGAGGGAAGGAATAGACAAACGGAATATATGTAAAGCTTTCGAACGTCTCAGTGCAAACGAAACGAGATGGCAAGAAGAATCATAAAGATTAGGAATATTCCACTTATCTCGACGTTTGTATCCAAGGCTGTCACTAGACGCTTAATTCGAAGCTGTATACTCATGCATTCACGTCCATATAGTTCATTTAGAATAGCTATTGCTTTTAATCACACTAGGATAATTCAGCAATGATAGAAATGTCAAAGAACATTGCTGATGATTGTCAAGTGATTTGGGAGTTTGCTACCATTATTGCTGAACACTGTACAGATGCAAGGTAAGTTGATTCGAACTATTACAGGTAATTTCAGGTGGCCTTTCATCGTAAAATTCCTTTCATCGTAAAGTTCCTTCGGAACTTCCGGAATACATTCCATATTTGGTATGTTGGGCGAACTTAGCAACGAACTTCCGAACGTCGAAACGAATTCACGAAATTCAAAATGAAATTCAATTCATATACATCCCTTGATCATATGCGTGTAATTGGGATTTCAGTAAGAATAAAATCATGCGTAACCTTTTCTGAAAACAATGACGTGTCTGTAGAATTATGGCACTAAGGAAGTCTAAAGGCGGATTTCCACTTACAGCGAAATCGTTCGCTAGCGAAATATCTGCATGTTTTCTTTTGAATTCAGAACAGTCAAGTCGCACTAATTTATTTATGCTGTTAAAATTCAAAAGAAAATATGCAAATATTTCGCTAGCGAACGATTTCGCTATAAGTGGAAATCCGCCTTTAGACAACTAATTGAAATTGCGACAGGGTTTTAAGCTACCGTTACGTACAATTCATAATATTGTAGAAAAATTTATCCCGGATAAAGGCAACCTGAAACCGAAAAAACGAAGCTCGCGAATGGATGTTGTTATTACGTGCACATAACGTATACAAAACGGATGAAGCCAAGTACCTATGCTGTAGAAATCCAAAAAGCCCTTGAGCATAATAGAGTATATTTATCGCAAAACATTCGATTCGAAGGGTGTTGAGAAACGATCGTTTTTAACGTTTGGAACGCTTTTGAATTAGCTTCTTCATCTAAATTTCCCTTCACGTCCACTGAGATAACTCGTCGCCATGTTGCATGTAAATCAAATTTACGAAATTCTGAATTCGTTTCGAAGTTCGCACTTTCGTTCGGAAGTTCGTCCTTGCAAACTTCATGCCAAATGCAGAATTTTTACGATGAAAGGTCAGCCGATATATATAAATTATCATGCGAGGTCAATAGTTAAGAAATATAACCAGCTATATTTGTATGCTATATAGCTATAATGGACCGGTTACCATATTTCTTTTCACCGTGGGATTAAGTTTTGTCTTATACTAACTATTCTTTAGAAGTGCTCAAGAAATTCTTCGTTCTGCGGAATCTATTCCAACCTTGGGCACTCAACTTAGCATTATATCATCTGTTAAATCTGCAACGCCTCAAGATAAATCTGTAAGTACTTGTGATATAGTACTTCATGTTGTACTGATACAATAATCCTGGGGGGCGATGTTCAATGCTCAAAATTATATCATCTGTTAAATCTGCAACGCCTCAAGATAAATCTGTAAGAACTTGTGATATTGTACTTCATGTTATACTGATACAATTCATACAAAAGGGACCTTAAGTTTGATTTTGAAATATGCTGTAGAAAGGCAGGTTTCCCCGAGGGAGACGTTTTCTCCCCCAAGGGTGATTAAGCAGTGAAACCACTCATGCCTACCAAGCAGAATTGATATACTGCTGCTGTTTTATCAAAACCTCGCCATGCATTTCTACCTTCCTCAATTAGCTAGAGAACTGTTTCGCAATTGTTCGTGTTAGAACGAACAAAATATTGAAAGCAGCATGACATTGTCCTTCAAAGATGACGGAAAAGTTTTCTTGTCAACTTTCGCCTTCTGCTTAAAGAAATAACAGGATAATTTGCCAATACTTTTATAGGCGGACAATATCCTTGTTCGAAACTCCCAGAATCTGATGGACGCGGTTGTTTGCACATTGAGAGTGATCGAAGGAGCCACTGTTAAGGTATACCATGCTAGTAGTCTACAAGATAAGTGAAAATATGCTGAATTCATATGCAGATTTGCCGCATAGCTGCTGTAATTTCACAGAATGAACTAAATCTTGTTCACTTTGGGACCTAAATGCATTCTAATCGTGCCGAGGGGTAAAACAACTGTCCGCAACAGCGGCTTGTTGGACACAAGGGAATTGTCTGATTTGATCAGGTATAAGTTGGCAGCAAATTTATAAATGAATAGACATCAGATTTCTTACCATCCTGTCTGTATATACATGTACTTTATTTTAAAAAAAACGTAATAATTTGTGGTCGCAGGAATATACTAGGAAGTGTTGTTTTTTTCAAATACGTGAAAGTTTGCGAAAACATGAAAGTTGTTACATGAAGATAAGAATATAGTGTCTAGAATTCGATTCACTAAAGAAATTCAATATGGCTGATGCTGATGAATTAAAATCGCAAACACAAGACAAAGCTTCAATTAATATCTCAGCAGAACATTTGAGAAGAGCAGACATCTTTAAGCTCTGGATTTTGTGTCGGAATGCGAAAACATAAAATATTATACACTTAATGAATGCTCCGGAGAGAAATAATGAGTTTGTTATCCCAATTGTCTGAATGTATCGCGAGACGAACTCGAGGGTAGTGTATATTAAGTGTTTCGTTATATAGGAACGAAAACATACATGTTACACAACAATTTCATTTAAAAAACACTTTACTTTGTTATGACAAGAAGCGGGCAACAATTTTTCACTTGTTTCCCTGGCGGGAAACATTGCATTTATTTAAAGTCATGAGACTACGAGAGAACCAATCACATTTAAAAATACAGAGCACCTATAAAACAATTACATTTATCTTTACAGGGTCTAAACCAACCTTCTCGACAGGATGAAGGCAACGTGAGGGCGACTGATGTCGTTTTTGAGTGGAAGAGAAAGTTAAGACGTCAAAGAAGCTTAGAAGCATTATCAGCTGAGCGAGGGAATCTGGGATTGCGCGTGCGCGATAAAAGGCTTTCAGATCCGTCATTAGTGGACATTTTGCATATCTGATACAGGTTAGAGTCCTTTTGATTTAAATAGACCTTTTCGGTAATTACGTCACAATATTTTAAAGTCACGACGTTTTAAATTTAGAACCACCTTAAATAAAATGGATTTCAAGTTTTACTCTCACAAGCCACATGCAAAGATGCAAAACATCCTTCTTCAACACATGCATGAAAAAGATTTTTTTATTTTGACCAATAAATGTGGAAATAAGCCATAACACGAGAACGAGGCTGAGGGGCCAAGACCGCGAGCCTTGTTCTCGCGTAATGTCGTATTTCCATACTTTTTTGTGAAAATGAAAAATACTTTTTCATGCATGTGTTGAAGAAAGATGTTTTGTATCTTTCTACATAGCTCGTGTGAGTAAAACTTGAAATCCATCTCATTTAAGGTGGCTCGAAATTGAAAACGATAATATTGTGGCGTAGTTACCAAAAAGGTCCATTGAGACTAACGTTGCGGCAGACGTTGATATTCTTAATTGCTGCAATTTCTCCGCTTTGTTAACGGTGTACGGTCGAACTTTATCAAATCTTCAGCAAATTTAAATTTTCACCAACAGCGACGCCATCTTGAAGAAAGACACTTTATCGATTACGTATCGTAAAAGTCACATATTCTAATAACAAGGAGCATCTCGTTTTAGACCAATCAGCAAGTTTGTTTACATTTTTAGTAACCCAATCAGAATGCAAAAGTCATCTGGTCTACTTTCGGTAAAAAGGTACATTATTTACCATTTTACACGAAGTATTTAAAATATAGGCATTGAGTGGCCGGTTTTATGAAAGCCGGATAGCACTACCCACCGGATATTGTTTTTTCAATCGTTTTAATATCGCCCGTTGTTTGCTATTATCTTTATCAAATCTTCATATTTCAAATCGAGGATCTTCTTTAATATTTGTTGCTTCCAAAGATGAAATTGTATCGCTTTTCGAGCATTTTTAGAACGGTTGAAAAAATCACTATCTGGTGGATAGCGCTATCCTGCCTTCGTACAACCTGCCCCTGATTGGCTTTGCCTGAAAATGTAAACAAATCATGCCGATTATTTTAAAACAAAATCCCTCCCTGTTTATTCAAATGACTTCTGGGGTATTAAGAGATGTATTTTATGCCCACCATGTTGCATTATCGATTTAGGCATTGCATTTTAATCAACAATCGACCCCTCCCGAGTTTCAACTGTGCCTAATATAGTTTCTTCGTTTACAACATATCACATTATATAACTTATGATAAGTTAGCCATTTTCTTAATACGTGGTTTAAATAATTAAAATCAAATTTGAACTTTGTCGGAACATAATATTTTAAACATTTAGTTGCTGACTTAGTTCAAATGCTGTGGAACTAGTTTATCTTGTATAGTAAGATGATTGACAAGCTTCTTTCTCGTTCAATTTGTGTTAGAAATTAACCCTGCTGTCTGTTTCTATTTACAACACATCACATTTTAACTTTTAAATTTGAATGTATATACACTACATTACGTGGGAATACGGACGGTTGACCTTGAAAGCTCAATACATGAAATAGGCCGTAAATTGTTAGTAATTTACGAATAGTATATATCTAAAAAAGTTAACGAATGGAAACCCCTTAAAAAATTTATTTCGTTTGACCTAAGTGGTTGAAGTAATTAAAATATAAATTTCACAATGTCGGCATCTTGCATTTTGAATTTTAGTTGCTATCTTTACTAAAAACGATATAGTTAAACGACCGGGCTTCCTTTGAGTGTAAATAATATATTCTCTGGTTGTACACATGACATATAATCATTGACTGCGATAGTTCGGGTCAATTGGTATTGAAAATACACCTGTCATGCGTGCTTATATATTTATTTCACTGCGTAAGCGCCACTTTTTGCCACGTTATTTCGAAAGAGACTTAAAAAATTACTTTTGTGCATTTTATTTTCATAGAACTACATATTCTAATGACACAGATATATAGTATTTATAGGCCATTATACAGGCGTAATTATTATGCTGACATAAATTTATATTATCAGTATGGTAGAAGGTGCTGGGTGTGTATATTATAATATTACCTGTATTGACAATCAAAGCCTTATTTGTTATGATATTTTTGGAAGGCCTAGAATTGTCATGCTACAATATTATAATGTCTCTGTAAGGTCACCGTTTATGCTAACTCGTTATTTTGAATACATAAAAACTGAACATATTCGCGTAGAAACTATGCAAGAAATCGTCACGTTTTTTCAACCCATTAAGTTATCTTTATATTGACTAGAATGTGGCGTGCTATTTTATTTCTATTTTATTAATTATTGAACAAGTATGTATCCAAACGTCGCCAAATTTTTATCACCGTTACCACAAGTCCTTTCAGCTCCATAGCCAATCCAAGAATCACACGAATTACAATCTTCCTCGTTATTGGCTTGGAATCCAATTCGTATTCTGAAAACGGCATTAAACCCTTCCCTGTTGCAGTTTTTCTGAAGTGACGAACCGGCGATCAGAGATTTCCATGCTGCTCTACCAGCGGTCGTTGCCCTAAATTGGCCGTCCGCAATCACACTATACAGTGAACTTGCGGTGTCGTCGAGGGTCATCCATTTGGTGGCTTTCTTATGCGACATACCCAGGCAAATCTTTGTGAACGGAGTATTCCAATACGAAGCCAACTTGCTTTCTTTCTCTGTCAATCCTTCCAGACCATCTTGTGCTGCGTATGTCTCTTTGTTTGTCCACAGAGAAGAACCATAGATAAATGTATTCTGTAAAATTGAAATCACTTCATTACAGATTGACTGATTAGAAGTGAATACGCACTTTACTCTTCGTGACTACAATCTCACCTTTGTCCCATCAAGTTTCATCACTAGCGTCCAACCTCCAACCCCACATCCTGGGATATCTGTCATGTGACAATATACCTTATATGGTGGCGAGCATTGATTCTTCTGCAACGTGTAGACACCATCGGGCAATGATCTAGATAGGCAACTGATATTAAATACTTACGTGGTGTGCCTAGAAGCTAATTTATTTATATTGTGATATCATCGTGCAAAATTACAGGGATATATGGCTATATGATAGATATGGTTATAAAAAATTCTGCTGGAATAATGGTTGAAATTCCTTGACTGTATTAGACTTTCGTCCACCGGTATATCTTTTTAACTTACGTATTCCTGCCAAACAATTCCGTGCAAGATTGAGGAAAAGCGTTTTGTTGTTCATCTAAAAACATAAATATACAATATAGGATGAGGTTGTTTTCATTTTGGTCGCCATAACTTCAAAAATTTTAATTACCTGGAAAAATATTATTTTCCTGCTTCAACCCAACCTAAAAAGCGACGAGAATAAATTCTTCACATGGACCCATAAAAGCAACAGTGGCGAATATCGTAAAATAATTTTTTGGGACGGTGCTACAATTTGCCGTCTCTAAAGCGTGGGGCAAATTTATTTTTTTTTGCATTTAAACAATTTGCTCCAGATGGTTGCAGCTGAGAGCTCTAAAGGGTGAAATAAAAGTAAAATGTCGCTTCACACGAAAGTGATCGATATATAGTGGAAAACCGGCTTAAGACGGTGTCAATGGACACTTTATATTTTTATTTGCGGTGAAACTAAAATTCATATCCGTCATTTTGCAATTAGCTATCTCGATATTGGTGCTATTGTCGGTAGTCGTTGATGAGTGAAATGCTTAGTTATTTTTAATAAAATTTCTTGCTCATAGGCCACAAACAATACGTCGCTGACTGACGGTGACATATTAGAACCAAGCTTAAGTTATAAGAGTTATACGTAATATAATAAAAACATAATATCAAAGCTTAAAGTCGGTTTTCCCTTACGTCCTCTTGCGAAGCGCGCTCTGTTTTTAAAGCCCGTCACGCCCGCATGAGAAGATTTTCAGAGGCTGCTTCGCCCGCCGACAAAGCGAATGAAATGAATGAAACAGCCTTAAATTACCTGACAAATTTTCAAGGAAACGTTCGTTTTAAAAGACGCGATTTACATATCGATGAACGTTGACTGTGTAAGCCGGGTCTGAAGATGTGTTTTATCACTCAATTTAATTTATTTAAATTCTAGGTAATAATTCATCGGTTATGCGGGTTAATCTATAGCTCATTATCATTTAATGAACTTCATTTCTATCTTAGGCGGACGGCTGCCAAATAAAAGCATTTAGTTCATGGGATCTTCCAAAGTTCAAGCATTTTTTTCCAAAATCCGATTCTCTTGCTCCCGTCCAGGCCTGTATGCATAATGTAGTAATTCGCATGAAAAAGAGCCGAATTTAAATTTTACTGTCAGTTGGAATTACTGTATTTTACCCTTTGCTTATTTTATTTCGGTATTTCAAAATCAAGAATCGCAGTGTTTTAAAATGCAGTTTGGAAGCAAGAACTACGATAATTGGATGACGACATTAATTTTGCTTTAGCTGTCAGGGTATTGAATGGCCGAAATACTCCGTTCTTTCTTTGTGGAAGAAATTTCCAGCAATTATCAGTAAGAAACACTCTATATATTTAGTTGTTTCATCGAGTTATAATCTTTACATGAAAAACTAATCTATTCTATACCGCGTGCATGTCCGTCGTCATAACCACATAATATATGTAAAAAATTCATGTTAATGCTTACTGGTTTTATTATAACAAGATGATTGAATTCATCGTTTGTCTTCTCGTCATCATCGGTTGTTGCGTTCACATCATCGGTTGTTGAGTTCACATCGACCTTTATCTTCACCGGAAGTTTTGAAGTTGGCTGACGCACATGACCCATGACGAGCGCAAAGTAAACCACATTCAAACTCAGACTTTGCTTGTTTTGTTTCGATGACATGATTCGCCAAGTATTTTTGCTTATTTTTTCGAAAAACAGCTTCCTCTGTGCAATCGCCCATGACAAACACGAGAAACAGCAGAGAAATTCTCGAAAGGACACTCATTGCAAGGCAGATTGACCGTTTTGAACGCACAGTCATAAAAAGGATAGTTTATCTACAGTCGAACAATTAGCGGTTCATCCAAACAAACTGTTAAGTGGCTTTTCATTTAAGGGATAGGCTAAATCTAAGTGTTGCTAAAAATAAAAAATAATAAAATAAATTTACACAATGTTAATGGACCTTATGTGGTATATAGTTTAACTTTAGATCATGAGGACAAGGAAAAAAACTAAAAAGTGCGTACAAAGATTAGTATAATTGCAAAGTCTAGACGCAAAATTTTGTAAAATGTGGAATTTGCTGCACGAAGTAGAATAATTTAGTATATTTTTTATATTTATACGTTCATTCTGCATTCTGTATTTTTACATATTTAGGTCTTAACTGCGGTGACTAAAAGAAAGTTTACTCCGGTTTCTCTGCTGAATAACTATATTTATTTGTCATTTTGGCTAGGTACACGCTTGTGTTACTATAGTTTATCATTTAGTGAGAAAATTGACAAAATTTTTCAATTCGTATACTCTGAATATATTTGATGGTGGGCGACAATTGTGTTAACTATTGGTGGTTTAAATAAGTTAAAATCAAATTATCAGGATGTCTGCGTACATGTGTAAAATATTTTGTTTGTATCTTTGCAAAAACGGCGGTTTATTTTAACTAAATACTGTCATTGTTGCATGCAATTTTTTTTATTTACAAGCATATCACATTGTAAGCTTCAATTTTATATTTATCTTGGTAGAATAATACACCGATGGCAAGACACGAATTAGATTGTAAATTCTTAGGAAATCAAGCGCTGTAACTTTAAGTTACTGTATTGTCGACATGACAGCTCAAACTTCAAACACTTTACTATACAACGGTTTATCACGTTGTAACTTATGACGAGGCAGTTCACTCAAACTTCGAACACGATTTAGGCCATAAATTGTTGTTAATTTACTTACGGCGTGGACACTCTTTTAAGAGGCAATTTTGTTAATACGTGGTTTAAATAATTAAAATCGAAATTTGCCCTTTGTTGCCATATTATATTTTAAATGCTGTGAAACTAGTTTATTTTGTAGTGAGATAATTGGCAAGCTTCTTTCTCCGTCATAAGTTGTGTCGCTAATTAAAGCGACGCTGCCTGATAAATAATTCGGCTAGTTTCAAGCAATTTCTGCATTTACAAACTTATCACATGGTATTCGAAACATCGAATTTTGTATTTATCATGCATATATGTAACTACTGTTTAAAATACACTGATGACAAGACAGACGCCTGTATTCTAAAAGCTCACTCACATGCACTCAAACTCATTGAGTGGGAGATCTTAATCTTCTCATAACGTTTCAATGGCGGTATTTCCAGCCGAACAGGGGCTTGATTTTCAGTTATTTACCTTATATCTTACCATCTATTTAGAAAAAACTTTCTCATTGATCACCATTAACAAAATTGATATGTCACACTCAATGAATTTGAGTGTGAGTGAGCTTTTTGCATACAGGCGAGACAGTTCAAACTTTAAACACACGAATTACACGGAAAATGTTTAGTAAACTACAAACGTTTTATCTAAATGAGTGATTATAATGGAGGCTCCTTTGAAATACTTAAAATCAAATTTGCATTTTATCAGCATATCATGCATATACATATTTATTTCAATGATTCAGTTTCTATATCTTTATTAAGCGGAAGTTTAGTTTAAATGCTGTGGAACTGGATTTTCTTGTATTAACATGATTGACAAGTTTCTTGGATGAGTCGATATCGCATCAAAATAATTTTTGAGTTGTTCTGAGAATTAACAACGCTAGCTGAAAATCGACCCCGTCCGAGTCTCAACTGTGCTTAATTAATATAGTTTGTCATATATCCTGAATTAATTGCTGCAACGTTCCTTCGTTTACAACATGTTACGAAATGCGAATATATAACGTAATTTAGCATTGTTAAAAAACACAAGGTCAATATCGACGAGGAACTTACTTGGGGAACACGTCATATAAAATGAAGTGTAAAGTAAATATTGTAACCCTTCGGAATCACAAAATTACTTTTCCTGTCATGAGGTGACAGCCCATGGGATTTCCTCCGAAACAATAGTATGTCGTACAAAGTACAAGTGTCACGACTCAAGAACATAAGTTCTAGGCGGATACTAGTTTATGTCAATCATTTCTTTGTTATGTTTTGCTCGGTTAAGCACTTGAAGCCTTACGTCACTAAAAGTTTAATTCGATGAAATTATTTGTAAAATAGGTTATAAGTTGAGATACGGTTCACAGAGTAATAAGCTGATAATTGTACTTTAAGTTGATGATAAATATTTTAAGTTGTGAACAAGTTTTAACAGTCATCGATTAAGTAAAAGACCAACTTGACTAGTGCGTCACCGGCCTTAAGTAAACAAAGTATGAGAGCTGGACCGAGCTTCTAAAGCCAACACACACTTACAACCTACAACGCTGATTGGATTGTGTAAATCACATCACCTTGCACAGGGCGTCTTCAAGATCCCCTCAAATTTTATTATAAAAGGAGGCGCACAGCAACAGAACAGTCAGTGGACTAGCGGAGTAAAAACCATATGAAACGTTGGAGAAGCTCAACCTGACAGAACAGACAGCCAAGACGAGAACAGAAAACAACGAGGTCCGAAAGGACGAATGATCCGAAGAGAAGAGAAGAGAAGAACGAGAAAGAAGAGAACATTAGTGAACTTTAGTAAAAGCTTGTAAAGATCTCCTACCTCGCTCATATAGAAAATAAAAGCTACTTACTTAACAAACATATCACATTGAATAACTTATGATAAGTCAGCTCAAACTGCAAACACTCGACTTATTAGGCCATATAAATTCTTGGTAATTTACTAACATTTTGTCTGAATACGTCAATAAACAATCTTTCAAGAAGCCATTTTCTTAATACGTGGTTTAAATAATTAAAACCAAATTGCACTTTGTCGGCACAATATATTATAAACATTTAGTTGCTGACTTAGTTCAAATGCTGTAGAACTAGTTTATCTTGTATAGTAAGATGATTGACAAACTTCTTTCTTGTTCAATTTGTGAAATTAACACTGCTGCCTGATAAACGATTCTGTTACGTTCAAGTTAAGGCAATCGAGTTTTACTGTGCTTACTATAGAACGTCATTCATAAAAGTCATTGTTGTAAAATTTCTATTTACAACACATCACATTTTAACTTTTAAATTTGAATGTATACACTACATTATGTGGGAATACGAACGGTTGACCTTGAAAACTCAATACACGAAATAGACCGTAAATTGTTAGTAATTTACGAATAGTATATATCTAAAAAAGTTAACGAATGGAAACGCCTTCAAAAGTTTATTTCGTTTTACCGAAGTGGTTGAACTGTAAATAATTAAGATCTAAATTTCCAAAATGTCGCCATTTATATTTTAAATTTGAGTTGCTATCTTTACTAAAAACGAAAGTTATACGACCAGGCTTCCTTTGAGTGTAAATAATATATATGATATAAATTTATATTATCATGCAGTATGGTAAAAGGTGCTGGGTGTGCATATTTTATTACCTGTATTAACAATCAAAGCCTTATTTGTTGGAAGGCCTACAATTGACATGCTACAATATTTTAATGTCTCCGTAATGTCACCGTTTATGCTAATTCGTTATTTTGAATAATTATATAAAAACTGAGCATATTCGCGTACAAACTATGCAAGAAATCGTCACGTTTTTACAACCCATTGAGTTATCTTAATATTGACTAGAATGTAGCGTGCTATTTTATTTCTATTTATTGAACAAGTATGTATCCAAACGTCGCCAAATTTTTATCATAGTTATCGGCTTGGTACCTAGCAACATTTCCACAAGTCCTTCCATTGGTTTTTGTTCCATAGCCGAGCCAAGAATCACACGTATCGCAATTGTCCTCGTTATTGGCTACGAGTCCAATTCGCATTCGGTTTCCATTCGCATTTTGAATATTATTAAATCCTTCCATGTTACAGTTTTTCTGAAGTGACGAGTCCACGATCAGGGATTTCCATGCTACTCTGCCAGCGCTCGTTGCCCTAAATTGGCCGTCCGCAATCACACTGTACAGTGAACTTGCAGTGTAGTTGAAGCTCATCCATTTTGTGGCTTTGTTATACGACATACCCAGGCAAATCTTTGTGAACGGAGTATTCCAATACGAAGCCAACTTGCTTTCTTTCTCTGTCAATCCTTCCAGACCATCTTGTGCTGCGTGTGTCTCTTTGTTTGTCCACAGAGAAGAACCATAGTTAAATGTTTTCTGTAAAATTGAAAGTTCTTCAAAATTAAAAGTTATCATTTTCGTTACAAATTGATAATCAGACGTTATTAATACGCATATTATATGATCTTCATGACTGCAATCTAACCTTAGTCCCATCAAGCTTCATCACTAGGGTCCAACCTCCAACGCCACATCCTGGGATATCTGTCATGTGACAATATACCTTATATGGCAGTGAGGAATTATTCTTCTGCAGTGTGTAGACACCATTAGGCAATGATCTAGATATGGTTATAAAAAATTTTCAAATAATTGTGCAATAAAGGTTTAAATTCATTGACTTAATAGACCTTTATCCAGCAGGAGCCGGTTGTATAAAACTTTTAACTAAATTTTGTGTAGTTAAATCGTAGTTAAATACACGATTCATTTTGGGCAATTCTATCACTAACTATAGTTAAAAGTTAACTACCTTTCTATACAACCGATCCCAGTATATGTAGCTATCTTTTTAACTTACGTATTCTTGACGAACAAGTGTGTGCAAGATTGCGGAAAAGCCTACAGAAAACGATAAGAATATATTCGTTTGGACCCACTAAAGCATGACGATTTCTTTTGTAGGTAAAACTGATTTGTCTGTAGGGCAGAACCTGGATATATGAATTTTCATCCCCCCCCCCCAATTATCGCTCTATAGTTACGCCCCTGCTTACCCTAGTCCTATTAGGACTTGTCAATTCGTAGTAATCAAAATCTTTGTGCCGAAGAAAAGCTTTTTCTGGCATCTCTGAAGCAATATCCTGAAGGAATTCACAATTTTTCTCTGAGTTTGAGCATTTCTTGAAATTAGTAGATCTACACGCTTCGTTATCACGGGCACAAAAGTAAATGCATTCTACTCCCGTTCCTGCGTGGACTTTTTCTATCACTTCACTGTTCAAACGACGACCTTTGGAATAGTAAAAAAAGAAGGTAAACGTACAATATGAACTACGATGCAAACGAAAATTGTTGAGTTTTCTAATCGAAACTTCAGAAATTTCAGTTTAGTTATTAAATGTGACACGAATATTTGAGTTTTGTCCAGAAATAGTGAAACATGTATGTATACTCGTAACTAAAGATTTTCTGATATCGCAATCCCTGAATAAAGCCCCTTAAAGTTCCTTTATATAGTACCATGGTCTCTTTATAGCTTTCAAATTCAGCCAGGAGAGGACTAGCGAAATTCGTATTAGAGACGGGAAACCCGTCCAAGACGGGAAACTCGTTCTAATGTGAATCCTGACACAAACGGGTTTCTCGTCCGAATTTAGCCGTTTGGACAGGGGTCCTGTGTGGACGAGAAACTCGTCTTAAATTCGCATTTAGACGGAAAATGTGACGAGTTTCTGAAATATAAACACGGTGAAAGACGGAACAAGGCTAAAAGAAAACAAGCAAAATTTTTATCGTAGTAATTACGATACCCTTTTTAGCATTACCCGACCTATCACACGTATAAATTTATCCATTCCTATTCATATTTAGACGGGTTTTTTACCATCAAATTTCCTGTCTAAGATGAGTTTCCGGTTTCTAATATGAATTCGGCTACTCGCCCAGCTTAAGGGGCAAGGTTTGTTTCCATGCAGCGACTTGTA